ATATGTATAACAATAATTAATCTGTCTATCTTTTTTATGTACAGCACATATACGTTCTTGTCTATTGTGTAGAACATTAATAAAAATTTATTCATTCATCCTCTCCAGAAATTTAATGACGTCACGCGAGATGCGATGTTCTTGCTATGCTTTTCTAGTTACAATTTATTCATTTCCAGGGTTACGTGAACTAGAAAAAATGTTCTATTATTGTCCCCAAGGTTTTAATTGTCCTTTCTATTTAAAATGTGATAATTCAATAAATAATTTCAGTGATTCACCGCCGGTATCGTATTTTATTTGATTAAATGGTGATCTCAGGTAAGATTATTGTAAGTAATTTAACTGCTACATCGGTCTAGTTTTTCCTGTTGACCTGAAGAAGAATACGTTGTATTCAAAACGTTGGCAATAAACAGATTGTTGCTCAATGTGCCGTACCCCGAGAGACCTTTAAGTCATTCCAGATAACTAGGACAAAAAACATAACCTATACATCTTGAGTGGTATTCATCTTCCATTAAAACTTAAATTAAATTTAAGTAAACATATGGTGGGTAAAACCCCTAGAAATAAAAATATTTTAAATCAAGTCGTAAGATTTCTTCATATCCGGTTACAACCAGCTACTCGTTCCAGGAGCGTACGGTGAACAGTAAATTAATACTGTGACAGATCCGGCTGGATTTAATCTGAACCCATCACAGTCCAACGCGTTTTTTAAGCCGTGATCACATTTCACCGGTATTTTTTTCCGAAGAATTTTTATTTAATTAATAATATTTTTTAAGTGTATTTCACGATTTCACTTACCGTTAAAACAAAATTACAGAACTTCGAAAATTTGCATAAATGCCGACCATTACAGCATCCACGTCTCGAATATTACTTATTAGCGGCATGAGGAAATAAAATAATTAAGTACCGTTTTAGACACACATCCACACGCTAAAACGCTCGTCCACGCAGATTTATTATGCATATAGTAATTATTAATTTCTTTATTACGTGCTTTTTTGCAAGTTTGTTGGTGTCATCAATTATACCGTAAAACTGGTTAAAAAATTACAGTTAAATGTGTTAAGAGAGAAGCAAGAAAACACGCAAAGCAAAACTAAAACTGCATTCTGAGCGATTTTTTAATTGCCCTACACATGTTTAAAAATTGCGCTTATTAAAACAGGGGTTACAGTTACGTTTAAAATTTACTTTTAACGGACACTTAGTGTAACAGAAACTGCAATTTTATTGCAATTAGACTCGTCCTGTTCTGCAAACAATGGAACAAAGTTTTGCTTTTTCTATGCACGTCATACCTCAACTAATGGTTAGTTTTGGTGAATTTCGTTATCGTTTAGTATCGACTATAAATTACGAATGTAATTTGTGTGAGGAATTTCTTTTGTTTTATGAAGCCAGTGTGAGTGATCCGACACTTATGATAATTTTCAAATTAAATAAATTGTAGTGGAGATCTCAAATTCCCACAAGGTTACAAATAGTTAATACAGTTACAGTTATACATCCATTAATTTTATTCAGTCACTCTGTATAAGCAACTCTACAAATATGAATGCGCATTCGGCAAAATTTTGAGATGACGTCATCAGTTTTGAGGTGGATAAATTTTGATTAACGATTTACCATTTTTACAATAACCTTAAAACGTTTGCAAGATTTCAGAGCATTCAGGTTTGCAGTTTCACGGGTAAAAATTTATCTATCTTGTTGTGTTCGAAAAGCAGCACTTATTTATTAGATAATTTTGCAGCGCTTGTCGAAATATAAAAACTTTCGCGCTGCGATAATCATATTCCAAACACGTCCTTACATGAAGATAATAAATCAAAATATGTAGCCCCAGGCTTCCTAAATCCACCATAAGATAATTCGATCTTTGATTAATTTTATAAGTAGTTAATTGCAAGCCTTATCCTGCAGAACATTGTAAATGCAGTACACTTTTGCAATTAGCGAACCCCATTACTGATGTATACCCAATTATAATTTTATTAATGAGGAATCTGGCGATTGTTATTATAATAATTCTTAATATATACCTACATAAAAAGCCGGTGAAGCCATTGAACTCACGCTGCTTTGAGAACAAATCGTTACTACCGGACCTATTATCATTCACTCCCATTATATTCATAAATTGATTTGTTGTAATGAGGTATAAATATCTGGCATTTGCGGCACAAAATTACTAATTTAATACATTTACTCATTCACTAGCTCGCAGCATATTATTTTATGCTAACTGATTTTTCTCTCACATGCGTGTGTGGAGGTTCAGGCTTCAAAAAAAAAAAATTAAATAATCTTTATTGTCACGACCGATAAGCCGATGTAACGGTTTCCATATCCAGTTTTTAATTTGCTGGCATGCTTGAGGCACCTTACGAAGATCGGTTTTTTATTTAACGAATTTCCTTTCATATTTTGACAGAACTTGTAGACACTATCTGTTAAACACCCGCGTCAGGGAGTAAGCGTTTTATGCTCACTATGTTTGTGTTCCTGTACTAAAACTTTACACAAGTTTTGACGTGATATAACTGTTAACACAATCTTTAAAGAAGTTTATCTAAAGTTTCTAGGTTGTTAATATAACCATCTTTCATTTATGCATCACGAAGTCACAAATTCAAATAAGCGTTACGAGGAAAATAAAAATCACAAAATATCGAGAGGTTTAAACCATCACATGAATAATGTCAAACATGTGGCTACCAAACCGCCAGTCAATTATAAATAACCACCCTAATGGTCCAATTCTGATACTGAAATAATAATAATTAATTCTGTAAAGCTACTGAATTTTATCTTTTCATTCGATAAATTAAACCAAATATTTTTGAATGCGTTTCTAAGAAGGTTATTGGAGTGCATCTCATACAAACCAAAATTTTCTGTTGCTCATAGAATACAAAACTGGAACCATCTGTCTTCAATGTTAAGTAGGCATATCTAGGAATTTTTATCTGCTCATCCTCTCCAAAAAGTTGATGACGTCATCTTTGACGATAAATGGAAAAGATGTTAATACTAATAATTTCAGCAAAATAGTGTCGCATTTGGGATAACAACTCTAACTTACACGCAATCTACGGCATAGAATGCTAATATAAATGTTAACTTTCCTTTGGAATAGGTCAGTGTATTTAAAGGTATAAAACAAATTTGTTGCTATATTTTATATTTCAAGAAATTTAAAAAATGACTCATTTTTGTGAAAAGGTTTCAATAAAATCTTTTCTAAAAGCCTACCAAGAAGAATCTTTTTAACTTGTCTATACTTTAGCTAATAAAATAGTGGAACATGACTTTTAATTCAATGATAAGATTACAAGCATAAAAAATATGTAATAAATGTCGTAAATACACTTCCAAGGATAATATTTTGATGAATTATTCATTTTTGTTTATGCTTTATGCATCTGACAACGCCGATGTCTTGGAGATTAATATGAGTGAATAAAATCTACATTAGTTTGGTATCATTAAATTTAGCCGCATCATTTGTACCCGAGGTTCGACAGGTCAGTGAAAGTTAGATCCCTCTGGAAGTTCAAACAAAAATTATCAATATTACTGAAATCTGATTAATTCTGATAAACGAAAAAGAAGTGTTGTGTTGTATTAACCAAGAGTTTTTTTAATCTTTAGACATAAGGTGTTGATTGATTATTATGCAACTAATCATACTAATTTATTCAATTTTTCTGGTTAGGTTAGATTATTTTAAATATAGAGTTGGAAAATGTGTCAGCAACACAAACATTGTTGACAAAATTAAACTTTATGTTTATATTTTGTAACAAGATCTTTGAAACAATGTAAGTTGTTGGCTGTAGTAATGTTGGTTGCATAATCATTAAATTTTAACAGGACATTAAAACTCCCGGAATGTTTTTTAACATGAACTGGAGATCATGGCGTGTAAACCAATTATTTTATGTTCAGAGGAATTAGTCTATTATAAAGATATATAAAAAAATATTGGTGAATTTTAAATACTTCCTGAAATTTAATTTGACTTTTAACATCGATGTGATGGCCTAAGTAGATTTTTTTATTATATTTATATTTCGATTATGTTTCGAAATAACACAAACTCACTTTTGCTGTGAATACTGAAACTTTCTCAAACAATTTCGCCCTTGTGTGGACCTAAGATTTGATTTAAACTTCGAAAATATTTGTGCCTCGAAAACTAACAAAAAAACTAAATAGTCGTTCCTAGGAAAAACTTTTTATTGCATTACAAAGTAAAGTCAACAATATTTGCGGCCCCTAAAAAATATTAATATAATTTTTTTATTAGTCATTTTATCTTTAAAGAGAACTCATAGTGTTCATCATAAAACAATTACTTAGGATAGTTCTTTAAAAATATGATAGTAATATTGAGAGTTATTAACCCTAATTCTAGCTCTCGCCTCTCAGTCGTAGGTTTGTTTGTTTGTATGCAACCCTTACACATCATTCTTTACAATAATATAAATAATTGTCTTGCTGAGTTCAACTATCATTCCACAATTTGAATAGTCAAAGAACACAATAGAACTTTTTTTCTCGTTTCGATTTTTCTTTGTTACATTGGACCACGGTTTATTGAACTTCCATTCGTCCCCACGAACGTCCTTGATGGATCATCGAAACCCATCAACAATTCATGGAGCTTTCAAAATCTTATAAATTTTAAAGCAGCACTTGTAACCTACACAAAGCTTCCATTTCAGATTCCATAATTATTAATCGAATTTACCCAAACAACCGGATATAACCGAATCGCTATTCCGGGTTCCAGTGCACACTCCATTGCCCTCTATCACCCGTCCCCGGAATCTGTCCCGCGCTCCGGTCGATCCCACTCCTGCTGTATCTGACTAGCTTTCACTGGCCACGAGATGGCAGCAGCGTCTCGTTTGAGCGCCAAATCCATACTTTTACACATGCCACCTAGTGATCCAATGCGCCACGCAGTGATTAGTGCGCATGGTGCGCCGTGTAGGTGCAGGTTGTGTCTTTTGTTACCTTCAAACAAATATTTTTTTTAAGCTAATACGAACTGACAGACGTGAGAGATAAGATAAAGAAGTGAAATGATTATCTGGGCTTATTAGTAAATTAGTGCCGGACTCGTTAGTGAGCAGTGATATAAGGTTTACTTACCTCCATGAAATACGCGGCTCCAATCGGTTGTTTATTTTGTGCAATATTTTTTTAACGTAGTGCAATTTAGTGGTAAATCTTCAAGATGACTACCCTGGAGCTTTACACAAAGGTAATTGGTGCTTTTTTGTAATGGAAAAAAGATTTTTGGGTGAGGAAATCTCAAGCAGCGCTCAACGCTCAAACGTGACCAAAACCGGTCTTTTAAATGTTCCGGGACTTTTTATTTTGGCGCAGATCCGTAGCATACTGGTACTAGATCTTTTTCACGCAGTCACTATTATTTTATCATTGTGGTCCTCTAGTTTTATTGCACCGTCGATTTTTTATTAACTAATAAAAATATTTTTATTTACGATAGCTTTATTTAAAATAATTATTACGGTGTTTATAAATATTTGCCATAATTAACCTTACAGCAAGGTTATGAAAGGTGCAGCAACTACATGCGGTTGTAAATGTTGCACTAAATTATTGATCGTTTTTATGTTAACCTACATATTTACCTACAAGTTTATTTAAATAAACGCTAGAAAGGTTCGCGTTGGGTATAAATTTAAAGTTTCCAAGTTTAAACAATTCACAAAAAATTGAGTCATAGGCAAGTTGTAAATTGTAAGGGGCCATAACCACGTATCAGTAGTTTCGTCTATAACCTTGTTAGATAATGCATTCTAGTTTGTTGTTGTTTTGTAAAATACGTTTTTGTTGTAACAAGCAAATATTTATTAGTACAATTTTTTCAGTGATTAAATGTTAAGTTGAATGTGAAATTTTCATTCTCATTTATTCACTCTGATTAAACCTCTCCTGATTGACGGTTTAAAGTGAGAGTATTATCTGATCAAATCGTGCATTTGCTGAGGCATGCAGTGAATGGTGTGGTTTATTAATTAATTAATGCAAAATATTACTTGTACGGAACAAAAATTTTAGAGAGCCATTAAATACGATTGCTCTGTTAATTATCACTGTAATAAAATTTGATCAAGTTTAATACTCACTGAGTTTACGCTTGATTGGTAGTTTGTCTTGTCATAAATATTTGTTTATGAGTGCTTCAAATATATTAAGCATGTAAGTGTATATTTTCGATTAAATAAATAAAGTAAATTTAAAGAATTGAATTAAATGTTTGGTTTTTTCACCATAATCTGTAGTTATTTTTAAATAAAACCATTTATGAGTAGTCATGCAGATTATATATTTCTAAACATGTTATTGTTAGCTTTCGTGATAATAATGAACAAAATGATCGATTTCTCAAGGAAGTGGCCCAGTTTTTACTTCCCGAGTCTAAACTAAGAGAGTATTGTCAGTCCGTCCGGCATCTGTAGAGTATGAAAAAATAAGTCTCCCGTTTCCGTTTGTCTGTCGACTGTCTGTGCGTCTGTGTCGATTGTACTACGCAGACAATCTCCAAAAATGATGATCATTGTCAAGTTGTCAAGAAGGAAGTACTGTAGTGTAGACTAGACTATTTTTTTTTTTTTTATTTTAGTCGTGTGTTGTGTACAGAATTTCAGTGCCAAAAATGTGACAGGGTCAAATATGACACCACATATGTTTTAAAAATTTAAAAATCAATGGAATTTTCAGTGTTCCGATAGAATATTACATTTTATACGTAAAATACTATTTTTAAGATTACCGCGAAAATACACGTGGCAACGCTACAGAAAATTTCAATAAAAAGTCAAATGTTGGTTTAACAATTACAACTTTTTTTGTACAATGTAACATTTATTATTATTTATTATAGCTTATAACCAAAATGCATTATTAAAAATTAGTAAAGTACAATGAAACATATGCAGCATTCTCGAGTGTTTATTTATGTTTATACATCGAAAAAATGTCGCGTAGAAATTAGTTTGATTTGAATTAAACCACAAACGAGCAAAATGATCTGAATATTATAATTCTTATTTTATCATTATTATTATAAGACGAGTTTTGCACATTCCAAATTGATAATAAAGTCATCAACATGGATAATACTAGTCACAGCACGAAAAAAAGTAGTTGCAGCGTATTACAATGCAAGAAAAAAAAGTAAACAGCGAAATTCGGCATATAACATTAAAATAATTTTAAGATACGATTCAATGAAGTGACGTCATCAAATTGTTGATGGGGATGATTATCCAAATTTTGGATCGTACTTAACCATCTACATGATATTTCTAATATAGATGCAAAATTTGAGAACAATCGGTCCAACAGTTTCGGAGATTACTTGTCTAATAAAAATGGATACAGACACCAGACAGACAGACGGAAACGGGAGACCACTTTCTGTTCTGAAACATAAAAAATATTTTAGTAGCACTAACAAATTGTATTACAACGTCAAGTATATAGATGAGCCGTTTCTGAGATCACACCTTCAATACTTATGCACTTGTGAAAAATGAAAGTGTTTAACTACAGCGCATACTGTCATTAAATTTTTAAAGACGATGAACAAAAAAACTGTGTGAAAATAAATTTACTGGACCAATATTTGTGTGATGCCACCATTTTTTAGAAAGGAAGAGTAGATCAATTTTAGATCGAGTTTTACCACGTATTTACATGTAAAATAATACATTATGTAAAATATGTATCAGTGTAATTGATTTAGTAATTATGGAAATTAATAAACTAATGAGGAAAACATGTTTCCATTTCTGCACCACTGCACATTCTAATACACTTTCTTGAAACATCATTAACTGTAACTGTGTTTTTTACTTCCAAGCGTAAGCTAAGGAAATATTATAATAGGTTGTAAATTGAGTTTTCCCCTAGGTATGTAGTTTTTTTGGTAACATCTAAATTGTATAACAACTTTTTACAATTTAACTTTGAAATTATAAAGCTAAAAATTCTCAAAATAACAACTATTCACCCAAAATAATATTCGGAACGTTTTGCGTTATTTTTTACGAAGTATGACCATGTGCTGAGAATCCTTTTTTCTCATTGGTTATCTGCTTTAAATATATTTCATTTCGGCGCAATGCCTGCGAAGATTTTATTTACGCTGCTGATTTTTACTTTGTACAGGTTATCACAAAACAAAACTCGCAAAAAAGTGTTGCCGTGGAAGAAAACACAATGTTATCAAATTTTGTTTATGTGGTTCGAAAATTATAAATTATATGTTTTAGGATAAGCAGCTTTTATTTACGGCACAGTTAAATATTATCAGGCCAAAATTGTTTAAGTAATTTACTTAGTACTTACCCTACTTTTCAAGTCTAACCAGTCCTGTATGCAACAGAGCGTATTTTTCAATCAATCTTTTAATAATTTTAATATGTATGTTTACACTCTCATGCATTAATAAATTTATATATTTATGGAAACTTAGAGAGAAAAACGTTCTAGTTAACGTAGAAAATACATTTTTCGATAGTTTTTTGAATGATATTGGTTTTAGATTTTGTCGAATTTATTTCACTATTATAGTTTTCCCAGATCGTCAAATAACCTGCACATATACTATGTGCTGAAAAAGTTACCATTTTTAAGAAATAGGCGTTTTCTTAATTGCTGTAAACAATTTTGTATAATTTTTAAAAGTTTTTCGACTGCTTCGTTTGATAGTATTTCATAATATCATAATATGTACTTAATATTGACTAATCAATATAAAATCAATTTAAATCAGATTCATTTATTTTCTCTGAGAAGTAGGTAAATCGAATTGTGGTGTGAACGATTACAACTTGCGAGCAATTAATTAACTTTTACTCAAAACATTATATTAATAGAATATTGACGAAAACGGAATTTTTGCCAATAGAGCAATTCAAAACAAAATTAAACTGCAATGGAATTTCTCACTGCTAACAATGGAACGTGGGATGATATAAATACTGCAAGTATTATTGCGACTACTTCTAAAACCATACTTACAAGAGTGTCTTTAATTTTATACAAAATTCAAGTAGATGTATAACCTGACGTCAGTATGTGTATGGTATAACTAGAGTATAAGTACAAATACTATTAATGATTGAAGCAAATTTTTGGGTTGGCAGTTCTGTATTATTGGCAGCAATGTTAACATGTCAGTTCAGAGTTGTCAATTTTCAAATGAGCGCGCCTAAAAAACAATGAGAAAAAAAGGCTTCTTCTAGTTTGTATGTTTACATTATTTTTGTCATTATATAAAAATATATCAAAAATACAGGACGACTAACAAAATTCAATATTGATGAGTTTCAAAGTTTGATTTCAAAAATTAAAACCTAGTTTACCACTTCCACCAAATAATTACTTTGCTAACCTAACACCTTGAAAAACAGCATTAAGCATTAGCAAAAATAGAGTGACTATAAAAACAAAAGTTATCAGATCGACGTGTCCATTATCAGTAGGGATCAATTTTTTTATCTTATCGTACTTCTGCATAGATAATTGTTTTGGCATTATAGTTCTAATTCTTCTGATCTTTTCAAAAACCACAGTCACAAGACAGTTTTCTCTTTTTTTCAGTAGTTCAGTGGAATAACCAGTGCGTACCTCATTTTTATGACATCATTACTATAGTTTTAGGTCTGAAATTTGAAAATTTAAGCTTGTCAGTCGTCATAATTTATTACTAAAAACAGTTCGAGAAATATTGCTTCCTTAATTTTTGACATTTTTGACAACTCACAGTCGTGTATATAACACAAGTTCTCATTTCAAGGTTCGTATTTTTTTAAAACAAATTCTACATTAATTAACGTTATTTTTAAAAATACTCAGCTGAGTCATGGAATTACCTTGTTTTTGCGTCAAAGCTTGTTATTAAGGTATAACTATAGCAGCGTTGCAAACGTAGAACATAAAACTTCTTGTCAAAAATGCCTCTACGACTATTAAAAAACCTTCGCTAAAGTTAATCTTGTTTCTGTAATTAAGTAAATGAAACGATGACGAATCATAAAAGAAAATGTGTTGGTCTGTTACAATCTCAATAAGTGGTGCCTATAAAAATTATGTTTTCAATACCTTATCGCACACCGTTTGTACCACTAATTGCTCGAGGTTTATTGTTGTTCACAATTTAATATTTCACCGTTTATAAGTTGGTTATAAACGGAACTACAATGATGAGTCAGTTTAGTATGAGTACCCAAATTACACCTTTACATACTTACTTAGAAAGTTATCAAGTTTTTCCGGAAATGACAATTATCTTTTATTTTTCAATAAAGTGGTATATTTTTCCAATAAGTTTGGTAGAGTTTTTGAGGTTCGACAAACATACTTAATCTAAATCACAATCAGTCAAACATCAAAGACCAATTAGCGTGTAAACATAATTGCGTCTTACTTCTTCAAAACTTGCTATGTTTGACGTAGGTTTTATATTTGATTTGATTTTTCGATTTTTCAAATCGTCCACGCTTGTAAAAGGTGGAAAAATACATTATTTTCTATCTTGGATTGTGCAGACCATGGAAAACGAAAAACTCAAAGTGACGAATTACCTGCAAACTTTCCAGATTTTACCCCCGTGGAGCTCTCTATGCGGTCCAATCAAGAGAAATAATATATTTTGTACCTCCTGAAAACACAAAATTTGAAAAATTGAATACAACAAGAATAATAAAGTGTAAATTTTTTTTTAAGTCGATGCTAACAATTCAGGGTGTTGTAACTGGTGGAGATTTTTTGAACAGTTTCTCAGGTAAATTATAAAATCTGACACCAGGAATCTCCACGATTTTTTTAAATTTCTTAAAAAAATGATTTGTAGCTTAAAACAATAAAATAAACTGATTCGTTTATTAATTTTTTGAACACTTTTTTAACAATTCTAAAAATTATAAATCAATCACTTACAAACCACAAATGGGGACCCATAACATTTTGCAGATTTGAAAGATTTTCAGATGACGTCGTCAAGTGTTACCAGGGGATAGACAGACGTTTTTGATTAGCGATTTGCCATGTTAACGATAATTTTAAAATTTCTAAGTTAAACTGTAAAATGTCGTGTGTGCACAAACAATCCGGCTTACATAAACATATTTTTTACAAAAAGTAATCCGACACTTGAGCAGCAGATTAAAGATTAGGTTACATTTCGGCCTTGGCCGCACATAAAAGGTGTCGTCAATTTTTCTATCGATTGCAATTACAACATAATGCATATCTTGTCTTGATGAAAGTAAACGTAGGCAGCTCTTGATGTCTTAATAATAAGAAATTAATTCCCATCGACTCGATATACTTCGTCTGTAAAAATTGATTTGTAGCACAATAAAAGAATGAAACCGAGAGTGAAAGTTCCACCTAACATTGTTATTCAGGATTGTTGGGAGTGCAAGCGACTTTTAAGCCCGGCATCTGAAAGCCATTGGAAAGGTGAACACGATCTAGACGAATCGAGATCAGTTCAAAAAAACTTCCATCTACGGAAACCAATGCAGAATGTAATCATTTTTTGCATTATTTACGTAACGTTGATCCTATCGCAGGAGTGGCTCAAACATGAGACTTTTGCAAAAAACAAATACAACTAGAAAATAGCGGTATCTTGAGAATATTTTTTACTTTCATGCATTTTCGATGACGAAAGCAACGAAATTGATGTCCGGTTCACACAATTCGTTACAGTACCGTTACGATGTCCTGAAACCAGTCGTGTAAAGTTCAACAAATCGCCGTAAAATCTGCGTGTTTGTTTTTCTAATTTGGCGTTTAACCCACTTTATTGCCGTTTGAACGGAACGTTTTATGCGTTTTGCAGCGGAATATCAAATATATTGCTTTAAAAGATAAAAGCTTGGTACATCCGTTTAGTGTCAAAGCCCCATTAAAGGATGGAATGAATCATTGTGTAATCTCATCGTGCAGGAATTTCAATCGATTTTTGAAAATAAAACTAATCCACACTAAACCTCTACATTTTGTTTTACCTTGACTCATGCGAAGTGTGAATAAGATAATTAATCGAGATAAAGCGGTGACTAATTTTATGTTTTTGTTGGTTTAGGGGGCAAAAGTATGGATTCCTCATCCGGAAAAAGTATGGGAGGCCGCCGAACTCGAAGAAGACTACAAAACAAACAAAACGACGTTACAAATTACTACAGAAAACAACGAGAAAAAAACCCTCAACATCAAGTCGGAAAAAGACTTACCTTATTTACGAAATCCATCTATTTTAATAGGGGAGAATGACCTTACCTCACTGTCATACCTACATGAACCAGCGGTCTTGTATAATTTACAAGTGCGATTTTGTCAAAATAGGTATATTTATACCTACTGTGGAATTGTTTTGGTAGCCATTAATCCTTACGATGATCTTCCTATTTATGGTGAGTGGAGAAATTAATGTACCGTTAGGTACAGATAGTTTATATTTTTTACGTCGTGAAGGTGTTAAAATTATAATGGAAATACCGTGTCAAATGTTTAATTTAATTGCCATGCTTTGACGGCATATAGTCGGGTTTTAATTTAAAGTCTGCACTATAAAATATAAAAATAGTAAGTAGTAGCTCGATGTAGTTTATTTGTGTGTTAAAAGGACGACTAGTTTGTCTACCTTTGTTTAGAAACTGTTTATTGGTCTGAAATTTGCATAATAACTCGACTTGGAAAAAAATGTGAACGTAAAATTACAATACGTTTCGATTCTGTGCAAGACGGTATTGACATCAACCAGTTTTTTCTATATAATTTTCATTTTATATCCTAACCATTGATTTTAAAGTAAACCCATTTTCGTCGCAAGTCGATTTACCATTTTTTCGAAGTACGTTTTTCCTTTAATATAGGTCAAGTTGCTTAAAGCATATACAGGTAGTTCTTGTTCTTTACTTATTGTTGTAATTAATAAACAAAACCAGAAACAATAGAAAGTTTCCTTTTTGTAATTTTTTAAAATAGTCTCACTAGTTCCAGAATTTCGTGATAAATTTGGAATTGGTTTGTTCGCAAGAGTAAGACCTGATAGGTATAATAATCATATGATTAATCGATCGTGAAATCAAATTCGACAAATAGCAATGCGATTAATTTAACAAGGCTGTAAAATGGACTTTAATTAATGGTGGTAGCAAAAGACAGCACAACAGTGGCATTTGAACCAGGAGTAATTCAAGTCCTTAGAGTTTTTTAGTGTCATATTGTATTTTTGTTTAGAGCAAATAATTGTACATTTTTTCAATATTTTACTTTTACAATATTTGGAAATAAAAAAGCTGAAACTTATAAAAAAGTAAAATCGACGTACAATGAAAAACTACGAAAAAAAATATGTTTATAACGGAATACCAGTGATTCCACCTTTCTTAGGTTGTCAGCCACCAAAGTTGACATTTGAATTTTAAAGCTCCACAGACAAGAATTATTTTCTCGCCAACAGTTTGGGTTAATTGCCATAAGTTAAGATTGAGAACTGAGTGAGCTTGTACGCAATATCTTTTCTTTTGGGTTCTTGAAAATTTATCTTAACAACTAACCTCCGTGTGATTTGATACCTCAGAATATCAAGTGACAGAATAGTCACTAAATAAATTACTAAAATCCACGTTTACAATTCCAAGCCCATAATTATTATACTGTGGACATTTTGACCTTTCATTGTGCGTCAACTGTATACGATGCTTACGTCTAGAAAAACTGGTGTAATCTATGTTTTGAAGATTGGTAGTCATTACAAATGTCCCTGTCAAATAACAAATAAAATAAACGTCAAAAAAAGAAAATCTGAAAAATTCCTATTTTTAATCAACAATGAAAAAAAGGTGCGAATTAGAAAAATAGTAGAAAACACGCATTGTATAAGACTAGAAGATAGAAAACTTGTATGACGACTCGTATTTTAATTTTGGGATTCGTGCTCTGAAACAATATCTTATGCATTTTTGACACATTTGTCACTCGTATACTATAACGTGATCAAGAATGATTGAGTCTGTTGGCAATCTTGGATTTTTAGTTGAAATTGGTATCATGATGTTTTGAATAATTTCCGGTTAGCTGTCAAGATTGACATTTTGTTGACATTTTTACTTTGCACAATGTATACAAAATATACTGTCACACAAATACGTCCGTTATGCCAACATAAATGCAAGAAAAGTTCACATTTTTTACTAAAAAGTACTGCCAACAGACTCAAGTCATTTTTGATCACACAGTATTAAATTTTATGTCAAAAAGATTATTTATTACTACTTTTTATAACAAAAATAAAAGTTTGTTGCAACAAAAGGTAAATACAACAATTCTCAAGTTACATTACTGATATTTTTAACAATTATTATAAGTAAATGTTTTGCTAGATCCCTAATTACAAATACCAAGTTTACAGTCACTGTATGTATATATTTTGAAAATACAATTGACAACGTTTTAGTAATTTATTTTATCGTGAAATAATAATTTAGGGTAATATTTCGTTTCATTTTAACAGTCTCTTTCCAGTTTTAAACTTCAAATTGACAATCTGTATCAAGACGCTCTGAAATTTACAGTATATATATACTCACACCTTTTTTTTTTAACTGGATTAATCAAGTGGTGGATTTTTGATTTTGTAATAAATTATCAATTTTACATCATTACATTAAAACTCTCACTTCCTATGTCGTCCATTTTAGTTCAAAATCTATTAAAAAGTATGTTTAGCAACGAGTATCTAATGCAAATACATAGATTGATTTCGTTTGTGATATTTTTGTGACATGTGACCTATTTTGAGATTATACAGGATGATCAAAAAATGACGGATATGCACGATGATACGAGTACGTTGTTAAGAAGGCTCTGAAGAACTAGGAACAAATGGTTAAAACTTCCATGAACCAAGTTTTTGAAAATATGAAACTTCGAAATGGAAGAATTGAGTGTAATGTGAATTTAATTGACACTTTAAAATTCCGATATAAATTATCAAAAATGAGATCTGCCAGTAGTAAAAAATGCCATTGTAGATCGTATTCTAGCAAACTACTATTAAATTATTAATAAATAATTATTTAATTGTCTATTAGACATGCAGTTCATTAAAACAAATCAAAATTACGAAGTTAATTAGGAGTATTATAGGAGTATTTCTGATAAAATTATTAGTTAATTCCTACTAGTCTCAAATTGATTAGACACTTTATGGATGAGTCGTGACATCAAAATTCTCTTTTTGGCCCTCCAAAATTGAAAACAATTTCTTATTCTTCAGTACAAATTCATGTTTCCGGTATTTTCTCATACAAATAATTATGCAAACCTGACAAACATCAAAAATATACGGTGACTCCATCTAATATGTGGATTTATACATTCATTTGCCTATAAGTGACACTATGGTATTTTTATCATATTAACAAATCTGAAATTTTTATCATAAGTGACGTTTCTTTGTCACCAAGTTTTTACTGTGACTTTATACATAAAGATAACTGATATATGGGTAATTATACATTAATGATTAAAGCACATGTTTGTGTTGGCAGTTCTGGATTATTGGCAGCACTGCTAGTATGTCAATTCCCAGTTGTCAATTTTGAAATGAGCGCACCTACCAAACGTGATGAGAAAATTACGGCAAGTAACTTAATGTTATAAATTTCACTCTAAGGATCAGATATGCCAACATAAAATTTTAAATATGCCACCAATTTAATTAGTTAGTCAGTCTGTCTTTCATCAAATTTTCATAGATCCTTAATTGTTCACTTAATGTGGGTGGATGTTTTTTGGCCTTTTACGTATGAAGTGATTTTAACTTTTATCATCATGTAAACTCGAATTTAATATTTATTTCTAGATATTTTACACATTAATATACAATTAATTACTAACAATTTCGTTACTTACTTTTAACTAGTGTTTTCATGTGTTTTTTTTGTAATTTTGAAAGAAATTGAAACAAATTTTTGTGTTAGTACTTCTGAGTTACTGTCAGCAATGTTAACATGTCCTTTGACAGGAGCGCGCCTTACAAACATGAGAGATAACTTCTAAAATTCATTTTGACAATCAGATGTGCCATCATAAAATTTTAAATATCTTGCCAACCTGACAAAAACACATCATAATCATTAATAGTCACCCGGTATTATCATTTAGTATATTTATTTGGTTTAAATGTCAAACAACAACCGCTACACCACCCACAGATTGTACAAACATTGAATAATTGAAGGTCTTGTTACAGTACAAGGTAGGACAATGGCTAATAAAAAACATGGATAACATTAGAAAGTTTTAATTGTAGTATCAGCGGCCATTCAATTTTTATGAGACATTTGTGGTTAATAGCTATACTTCATCTCTTCGTATTATGATTATTTTAGCGGTGACGGAAAATATTATGTAATATTTCATCCGGTTATCATAAAAATTGGTGCATATAATCTTTAAAAACCATTTTTGTAAGTAGTAAAAAAAAATCAATAATTAAATGCGTCATCTATTATCCGAATTTAAATCTCACTTTATTGTAGTATTAACTCATAAAAATCGATATTAAAGTTGCACTTTGTGTTTTACGATTTTGTTTGATTTTAGTGCAATCTGTAACTCGTCGATCAAGTATAAATATGACATTTATGTGAAAATAACGACGAGTGAAGAAAATGAAAAAGATAACAATTTAATAATGAACACTATAGCTTCACGCCATTTTAAAATGAATGCATTTTTGAAGAGTTTGTGAAAACTGAATGAACCTACACTCCAAAAGTGATGTAATACATCAGTGTTATCATTGTTTCTATAGTAGAGACAGATAGATATTAAACTAAATTTAGAATTTTCACGGAATGGAAAGTAGATAAAATTGTGTAGGAGAAAGGACAACGTTTTTGTTGCGATATTTGTTCAAAAGATAATAATTTATATAACCGGCAGAGAAAAACTTCATTACACTTTCGCCTTACCCAGCCAGAAATTTAAAGAATGGAACCACTATTCATTCTTAAACAGTACTTCTGCATATTATGAAACTTGTTAAATAGTAACATTGGCGACCGTTAATCTTGCGTACAATAGGCAGAATACGTATCAACTTAAAAATATCCAATTTGGTTTCACTCATTTGTAGTATTTGCAAACATTCAATTAAGTTTGAGTGACAAGCACACTCAGCGTGGGACGGAGACAAAAACGGGTTAATACCAATCTGAATAATTCAAAAAAGCACTTTCACGAGCTAAAGAACACCGAGACATTAAAACATCACCGCATACCTCCATTGACCCAATGAAATGTGTATTATTGTGTTGATTTTACTTTCTATAATAATCCTGAAAATGTTAAGAATCTAGAATGAAAGTTATTCGCGTGGAAACATTCACTGAATGAGTTGTGAGAAACGAGGAATTGTTAAGGTTTTTTGATGAAGGTATTTGCTGTGTAAATTATTCTGAAAAGAATGGTAACTGGGTTTAGCAGAAGACACCCATTACAGTTAATTGTGACCACGATTTAGGACAAGCGGAAAAGGAAGAAGAGACCTGTTAATTTTAAACTGACAAGATAATTTAAAAAATAGACTATTTCTTGTGTGGTCATCACTACGTCAATTTGACCATATCCTTAGGATAATTATCGTCATCAAAAAAACAGTTTCTGTTCTGACCGGTTGTTTTGAGGAAGGTAGTGTAATTTAGAGAGTAGTTGGTGGTTATCTACAGTTATTATCTCATGATAACACCTACAATTTCGATATGCAGTGACTCATAGATAATAAACACGATAAGCGTAGAAGCTGGAGAATCATGCGTAAAATGTGCACAAGAGAAAATATATGTTTAAAAGCCACTTGTGTTTGAAGAAAAAGTTTTCTACAACAAATAGAAAAAAATCTACACCAAAGTGTTACTTAATACTTAACTTCCATTTAACTAAGCTGAATACCTTTGGAACAATTATATAACATTAAAAGAACTACTTTAAGAATGATCGTAATAACTTTAATTTTTCATTGAATTGATTTAAAATAACTCAAACCGGCAATTATTTATTAAACGATCATTTAAATAACCATTAAATTGGAATCATTTAAATAAGTTATGTGTACCATCGCTACATTATAATAATTACTATTAAATTATTATCGTGGGAGTTATAATTATATATTGTTAGATATTGTAGGAATTAAATCCGACTCTGAGAACACATGTGGATATACCATTAATATTGATCCATTACCTGTTACAAGAAACTTGAAACACTTGGTATTTAAATGTAAATGTACTTATAAGTTGCAGCAGCATGTACTACTTAAATACGTAAATCATTATTGCTTTTTAAGAACTGAATTGAAGTAAGCCTTTCAATTTCTTGTGTACAAATTTATTGTTGGATTTATGAACCTCAAATAACCTTGTTTTGCGGTGTATGACACATTTTTGCTTTCTAGTTGGGTCTTGTGTATAATTATTAATTACTTTTAGATTGACAACATGCATATTTCAAGTGTAGACTTGTCCCATTAAGGTTATAAAAAACTAGTAAATCAGTAACAATTAGAATGTTCACGGTTGCCTGAACAACATTTTTTTTAAATAATAAATGAACTTAAACTAATAACAAGTGTAAAAGTTAGAATATTTTAGAAATTTTCAAACCATCGAGATATAAGTTACCTTGCAACATATTTCTCTGTCCAACGACACCTCTGACCTCTTAATTTTTACAAGAACGTCGGTGTTAACGCACCTACTTTGCATTGTGCTTCAGCGACATCGAAAAACGTGCACAGTTAAACATGTACACCGCAATTACCCGCCTACATTGCAGGTATTGAAGTCAGTAGCATTAATTGTAGTAGTAACAATCAAGATAATAAACTCATTCAGCAAATTGCCAGTGCAGCAAATTTAATAGTAAATCAATTTTAACTATTTCCAATAAATGACTATCCAGTGCAGTAATGTATGAAATTGACAGTATGTACTTAACGTTTTAGTCAAACACCCCGTTTAATAATAAAAGGAAAATTTTAACTCGAATATCATATTACCGAAATACCGCAGAAGTGGTGCATAAAAATATCACTCAAAAAATTAACCGAACTTTTTGCAACTGTCAATGTGTTCCATCTGGCGATCTATGTAAGTCAGGCCATATCCTGACAAAATAAAGAAAGCAAAATAGCGTAAGGTGTCGAAATGAAAAATTAATTTAAATGGTTTTTAAATGTCAAAACTGGTGTTATTTATTAGTTTGAAATGTGGTAGACAGGATGTTGTACAATAAACTGCTCCCAAATATGAATGTTATGCTTTGAAACGTAAGTTTTAAAAATTTTCAGAATTACTCTGACACTATTGAAAATATTTTATAAAAATGCTATTAGGAGCCAAAAATTGTTATCATTCGAAATCATATCAAATTAAAAAAGAACCACCCTGTATATGCACATATTTTGACAAAATTTTTGGTTTTGTTTAGACTTCACAATAAACGAATATATTTTTATTCAGAATAATCATGGAACCTTCACAATAAGTGTTGACAAACATTATTTAAGTTTGAAATTCCTGAATTTTTATCTAGTGAAGAAAAAAATTATACTGAAACTGTATTTTCACATTTGATGTAACGAGAGACATCAAATTAGTGGAAGCAACCGGTTTTTTACCTATTAAACCAGATAATTTAAGCTTGTATTCATCTTGAATAGACGTCAGAAACGTTTTTATCTTTATTTGTGAAACTTCAAAGGATTTTTTTGTAAGCTCTTGAGATATGAAGGGTATTTTTCAGCTATAAAACGTTTACTTCTTATTACTCAATTAGCAGCAACAAAATATCTTAAAAAGCAAGAAAACTGCCGCCTGAAAAGGCCTCTCATTATGAAGATATTTGAATGAACCGACTTTATTACAGTGAAAAAGCTGCTTGTGCTTTTTAACTTTCAAAGCTTTGTTAACATTTCTCAGCAGAGGCCCTTTTAAATTTATTAGTGGAGTCTTACTAAATATTCACAACAGGTTGCGCAAAATAATTCTTGGCTCCAAACTGGTCTTACTGGGGAGAAAATCAATGTGCTAAACATAGTATAGTAATTTTGTGGACAATTGTATGGTAATCTTGTTGGGAAAATCTCAGTTGGTGCCACTGGTAGCACTGTTATTGCGCTATTAAAGTGACATTTAAGTATTACCACTATTACGATGAAAAATGACACTAGATCAGGATGTCTTTAGATCACTTGTGCTATCTTCTAAATCAAAACATTTCCGAATTGTGTACCTATTAAAATATTTTGTTCCTGATACTGCAAGAACTAACAATAAACCTCTTTGAAGCCCGTCAAATAAGCATTCAGAAAACTATTTTACTATGTTTCTGTGACATATTTTTTTAATTTGTTTAGGTTAAATCCTACCTGAAGCTGTCAGGTAAAATAACTAGCTAGCTATAAAGAAATCCGAGGGTAATCAGGAATTAAATTCAGTTTGAACTCTCTCGATTGCTCAGTTAAAATGGAATTTTACTTTCCGGTTGACCCTCGTAGTTTTGTGTTGTATTAAACCTATTTGATTAAACTCGCCGGTCCGTAACCATTTCACTTCTAATTACCGCACTGCGACCAATATTAATGCGACTTTTAGATGTCGACACCATACAAACTTATAGAGGTCAAGCGATGGGTGACCTAGATCCTCACATATTCGCAGTGGCCGAAGAAGCGTACACCAAACTAGAAAGAGAGCAAAGGGACCAAAGCATAATAGTATCTGGTGAAAGTGGGGCTGGTAAAACAGTTTCGGCGAAATACGCGATGCGGTACTTTGCCACCGTGGGCGGAAGCGCAACGGAAACCCAAATCGAAAAAAAAGTACTAGCCAGCAGTCCTATCATGGAAGTAATAAAGATAAATGAAATTCGTTACAGTTTTTAGCACTTGTTCCTTGCAGGCAATAGGTAACGCGAAAACGACGAGGAACGATAACAGTTCAAGGTTTGGAAAGTTCATCGAGCTTCAATTCAATAAGCAATTTCATATTAGTGGAGCGTCGATGAGAACTTACTTGCTTGAGAAGTCGAGAGTCGTATTTCAGGCTCCGGATGAACGAAATTATCATATTTTCTACCAATTGTGTTCTGCGAGAGATCAGCTTCCTGAGCTCCATCTGAGTCATCAAGATAATTTTTATTATTTGAATCAAGGAGAAAGTCCCAGCGTTGATGGCGTGGATGATTTAGAGACCTTCGCAGAGACGGTGAATGCGTTGCATCTTCTGGGATTCAAGAAGTCGGAGCTGAATGACATGTTTAAAATTTTAGCTTCGGTTTTACATTTAGGCAACATCAAGTTTGTTGAGTCGATAATCTCCACTGAGAACGAACAGGATCAAGAGGGATGTTGTGTTCCTGTAAGTATACTTGTTACACTCTGGAATCGGAGGCTCGAAATTCGCTTCTAAAATTTGGTCTGCATTATATTTTTCTTCATATTGCAAAAAAAGTGTAATTCTCGGTTGCTCAGTTCGGCTGTATAAGCCGCTCTTAAAATCTACTTATTGCGTTCAAAAGAAATCAAACGAAACTTTATTTCAAACGTTCCTATAGCTTTTTTTACAACTAAGCGGCTACTTTACCTTAAATGTCATTGCCATCCAGACAAAATAACCATATAAAAACATTTCCTGATTTTATTTGAAACGTATGACGAAAACACTTCGTAATTTGTTTTTATATTTGTTCTTCTAGCGGCTCCAGAGGGACTCAGTTCACCCCTGTCAGAAATTTCCATTAGCGATAAGATTTTATTGAAACTACATAATACAGTAAAACGTCGTAAATATTCGCTCTTCCTCTTGTAGTTTTATAAACTTCTGAATGCCATGCAGCAAGTTAAAAAAATTAATGAGAATTTGAATATTAAGACCTAATTTTGAAATGCAAATTTCGTGCGTCAGATGCCAAAATCGGGGTACCTTTTGGTAAATAAATCGATTTCTATGCAGGACACAGACAAGCATTTGAAAATTTTAGCAGAATTGCTCCAAATCGACTTGGAGGATATGCGGCAGTGGTTGTGTACACGTAAAATCGTATCCATGAGGGAAGTTTTCCTCAAACCGATGTCTGTGGAGGACGCTCAAGCAGCGAGGGATGCGTTAGCCAAGCACATTTATGCAGAACTCTTCAACTGGATCGTGCTGGTGATTAACAAAGCACTCGAATCGGACGTTCCTAGATACAAGTTCATTGGAGTTCTTGACATTTACGGGTTCGAAACTTTCGAAATTAATTCATTCGAACAATTTTGTATCAATTACGCCAACGAGAAGCTCCAGCAGCAGTTTAATTTACATGTATTCAAATTGGAGCAAGAGGAGTACATCAAGGAGGGGATTGAGTGGAAAATGATCGACTTCTACGACAATCAGCCGTGCATCGATCTCATCGAAACTAAATTGGGCATTTTAGATTTGCTTGATGAGGAGTGTAGGGTAAGTAGTGTAGAGTACAAGGGCGGAGTTCTGTGTGGTTAATCTATGCTATAGTCAAAAGAACAAATTTTGATCGGCAATTGTTTACTTGTTACACAAATGTCCAACTACAACTTCCAAAGATATTTTATCCTAACCGTCATTGATTCACTTGTACTTCATTTAATTAACGTTGACTTATTGGATTTTTATCAACGAGAACGTGATTCGCACTTCATGTATGAAACGATTTTCATCTACGGTTTAATAAAGAAAATTACTATGCGCTTTTTCTGATTTAATTATATTTCTAAAAATAGAAAAAAATTTGTTTTCCCGGGGATACCGAGTAAGCAAGATCGAGATTGACAAACCACTCAACGTCCACTCAATTCAACACCGGAAAAGGATAGACAGAATCCATTATGTGTGGTTCCGATTTTCTTTCTGTGCGATAAATGTGAGTAAGAGAACTTAAAAGAAATCTTAAACAAAGGGCCGATCCAATTCGTTTACGATATAATAATATATGTATATGAAATTTGTGTAAAGTGCTTCTTTTTACACAAATATATGGAAATGCAACCACAACCCATACTACTTTTTATTGTATCGAAAAAACCGCTGTTACTGTATCTCATTTCCAACAAAAAAGGTCGACAATGATTCCCCTCCATTTCTAGACTTTTGTAAGCTGAAAACAGGTGAAAACCGCGTCCCGAAATTTCCATAAGTAATTGAGATATTGATTTTTAAAAATACATGATAAAAAGTTCACTAAAATAAAAAAAATAATAATGGTAAACTATAAAAATAAAACTGCCCTGGCGTTAAATCGAGAAAGTTATATTTAAAATTTCATAAAAGTCTGTTGATAATGGACAGATTATGTTCTGAAATTGTATCTATCCATACTACGAAATTTGTCTCAACTGAGTACATATTTAAAAACTATTTCGATGTCATTTTTATTTAACTTATTAGTTATAACTAATATTTGAAGTGATAAAGAGAATACAAATTTTACATTGCCGTTTATTGCACAACTGGAGAACGTGTACCTAGCGTTTAAGAAGAAAAAGATCAATAAGTAAAAGATGGTGCGTCAGACCTATTAATCATTGACGAATTGCCCCAGGCGATCACAACAATTCATTCCGAGATTAAAGAATGATGAAGTAATGTTTTTTTTTAATGTACCAGCAATCATGAGGGAGAAAATGTAGACATCAACTTTTCTTTGTGATCGGGTTGTCTTTTGTCTTATAAACCAAACCAGAAATTTTAAGATGACAAAAATGCGATGACAATACTGCATTTCAGAACTTAAGTTTTTACATTATTTTATAGGTTTACATTTGGCAGAATCTTACTATTACAGTTTTAAATTTCTCAAAGTTAAAATCTTAACTTTTAAAAGTTCCACCACTGTACTAGGCCTAACTGTATTTTTGTTGAATCCATAATACCGTGTGAAGAAAAAAAACTTGTCTAGTTTTCAAAAATTGTAGTGGCAGTACTGTTGTTTTCCATTAAAGTCATCTGTCATCTTGACATTTGTAATCAAGGTAATAAAAAAATGTTTGAAACAGAACATAGAATTTTTATTATCCACAGAGATTACCGAAGTGGAGTCAAGCAACATTTTTCTAAAATCTCGGTCGGGAACCATTAAACTTTTCGCAAATCGAAGAATTGAAAAATGATAATGTGTGGAATATTAAAAAATCAGTTTCAAAGCGAATTTTTTGGAAAATTTTGTTCAGGGACCATTAACACGTTAATTTCTCGAATCAGCTCGTCGAGATCTATATCTTGGAATTTTTTGATGGTTTTTCGAGCACTATTCGAAAATTTTCTTATAGATTTCGACTTGCAGAAGTAATTTTTGGCTTCATTTCTCCTAAAATTCCGACAATTTTTTCAGAATCGATAAAATTAAAAGCGAAATTTTCGGATATTAAAAAAATTCCATTTTCGAAAAGAATTTTTTAAATATCTTAGTCCCAGTCTATTAACAGTATGTTTTTCAGATCAGCTTACTGGGATCTGTATCCCAGAATTTTAGGCAACTTTTCAAAAATCTCAGTTTTTCAATACCTCTCCGTATGAATTTTTTTGAGCTTTTTCTAGCCGCCTGCGAAAATTATCCAAAGACATTTTCTTGTAGATTTCGACTTGTAGCCCGTATTTTCGCTTACATTTTTTCGAAAATTCCAATATTTTTCAGAATCGCAAAAATTTTATAAACAAAAAAACTAATTTTCAAATTAATTGAATTCTTCGAAAACCTTGATCCGGAAGCATTAACACGTTATGTTTTTCGAATCAACCGGTCGAAATCTGCTTCTCATAATTTTTTGAGGATTTTTTGGTGATCTTTTCGAAAATTTCAATATTTCAATGGATTTTGTGACCATTTTTCAAGCACTATTCGAAAATTACCCAAAGACATTTTCTTATGGATTTCGATTTGTAAAAGTTATTTTCGTTCATTTCTTCGAAAATTGCAACTTTTTTTTTTAGAATCGATAACATGAAAAGCGACAATTTTCGAAAAATATTTAAAAATTTCATTTTCGAAAAGAATTTTTCGAATATCTTAGTCCGGAACTATTAACAAGTCCTGTTTTTCGAATCAGCTCATTGGGATCTGTATCCCAGAATTTTAGACAACTTTTCAAAAATCTCAGTTTTTCTATACCTTCTCCGTATGAATGTTTTGAGCTTTTTCTAGCACCCACCGAAAATTACCTAAAGACATTTTCTTGTAGATTTCGACTTGTAGCCTGTATTTTTACTTCTATTTCTTCGAAAATTCCAACATTTTTCAGATTCGAAACAATTTTATAAACAAAAAAACTAATTTTCAAATTAATTGGATTCTTCGAAAACCTTGATCCGGGAGCATTAATACGTTATGTTTTTCGAATCAGCCCGTCGACATTTGCTTCTCATAATTTTTTGACAATTTTTAGGGATCTTTTCAATCATCGGCTCGTTTGTTATGAATTAATTAAGGTGCGAGGGAAAAATGGTAGAAAAGTTAGCCGCTGAATTGTTGTTGTCAATTGGTTTACTAAATTGCTAAAGTAAGAAGTCTAAGGACCAGATTTTAGATCTTAGATTGTGCAAACTTTTGATATTTTGAGATTTTGTGACTTTCGATTTTTTTTTTATTTTTCGGAATTTGCGGTTTTCAAAATGTCTAGAATGTTCAAATTTTCCAGATTAGTCTGATTTTTCAGATTTTACACACACAAAATGCCCGAAGTTTACAGATTTTCCAAAATTTCTAAAATTAACAGGCTCCAGTTATGCCAGAATTTTGAAATTCAACCTTTACGGAAATTTTTAACTTTTCTAGGATTACATTTTCCAATTTTCTAAATTTTTCCAGATTTTCCATAATTTATAGACCTTAAGACTCAATCTTCGGAATTTTTGGCAATTCTGGACAATCTCCAAGATCTGTAAGATAATAATTGGGGTGTTCAAGACCTTTCACATTTTTAAGCTTTTAGTTTTCATTAGTCTTTGGAATCTTTAAAATCTTTGGCATTTTAAGAGTTCATGCAATTTTTACAAGTTCCACAATCTTTGAAATAGTCGGAGCAGAATTTTAAATATCTTATTAACGTTTGAGTCTTTAAGAGTATCTTTATTAAAGTTTTTAGACTCTCTAGAGTCCTTAGAGTTCTCAGAGTCCTTAGTCTTTCCAATCTTTAGAAACTTTGGACACTTTTGAATTACTATAAATTTTACAAAGTCTAAATTTTTAGAAGTTCTAGGATCATTAGTACCTCCAAGATCTTTATGATTTTTTAGCTTTTGTTGGATTTTTTCCATCTAGAATCTTCGGTGTATTTACTATTTACAATTTTTGGTGTTTGAAATCTTTGAAACTTTGAAACCTTTTAAATCTTTCAAATTCTTTCATTAGTTTTTCAATTTTTCGATTTTACAATTTTTCATTTTTCGATTTTTCAGTTTCTCGTTCTTGATTTTTGTTTTTTTTTTATTCTCGATTTTTTGAGTTTCATTTTCTCGATTTCATCACAGTTTTTCCGTTTAACAATATTTTTTTCGATTTTATAATTTTAAAATTGAAAAATCGTAAAATTGAAGAATTAAAAATTGGTGAGACGTGGGCGGAGCTGCGTTCAGGTTTTCTAGAGTCTTATAAGCAAAATTTTCCTAGAGAGCCTTTTATGAGCAATCATTTAAACAAACGGAATTTGTCAGACTATACTTCAAAGGTGAGGGAAGTTCTGTCAAAATAACCTTCCACAATTTCTTCACCAGCTTTGTTTTTCTTAGTAGTGTCATCAAATTTCTAGCCCCACCCACCCGCCCTCTCTTTTTTTAGAGGGTAACTTATTTGCCAAAATCAATCTTATCTTAGCAGCTACTAGCCCCGCCCACCCACCCTCTCTTTTTTTTAGTACATGCTAAAATAAAACTAAATTTAGCAAATTAGATACCCTGTAAGAAAATATAGGGCTTTAACTTAAACTCAGCTCCGCCCTCGATTTTTTGCTTGAATTTTTCAATTATTCAAATTTACATTTTTTTTTCTTTAGTTTACGATTTGCAATTTTTCGAGTTTTCAGGTTTAAAATTTTCAACTTTCGAACTTTTGATTTTTAAATGTTAAAATTTTTCGGTTTTTAATTTTCGTTATTTTTTCGTTTATTCGATCTTTCAGTGTTTGGATTTTATTTTTTTGTTTTTTCAATTTTAATTTTCCCAGTTTCTCGTTTCCTCAATTATTCCATTTTTCAATTTTTTTTTTGTTTTTTTCATTTTTAAGATATGCGTCTCTTCGACTTTTCGTTTTTAAATTTTACAGTTTTTCGATTTTCCAACTTTTGGGTGTTTCAGCTTTCAGATTTGCGATTTGCATTTGCAGTTTTTCGAGTTTCCAATTTTTAATTTTTTTGTTAGTATTGCCTAATAAGATTGATTTTGGCAAATCACATTCCCTCGAAAAAAAAATGGATTTTTTACCATTTTTCAAGCACTATTCGAAAATTACGTGAAGACATTTTCTTGTAGATTTTGACTTGTAGAAGTTAATTTTGGCGTCATTTCTTCGAAAATTCTAACGATCAAAAATCAATTTCAAAGTGAATCTTTGGAAAATTTTGTTTTGGGGCCAGTAACACGTTAGTTTTTCGAATCAGTTCGTCCAGATCTATATCTCGGAATTTTTGGGCATCTTTTCTTCTCAATGAATTTTTTGACCATTTTTCAAGCACTATTCGAAAATTCCAACAATTTTTTTCAGAATCGATAAAATGAAAAGCGACATTTTTCGAGATATGTTTTTAAAAAATTTCATTTTCGAAAAGAGTTTTTCGAACATCTTAGTCCGGGACTATTAACAAGTCCTGTTTTTCGAATCAGCTCTTTGGAATCTGTAACTCAGAATTTTAGACAACTTTTCGAAAATCTCAGTTTTCAGTACCTCTCCGTATGAATTTTTTGAGCTTTTTTCGAGTATTCTTCGAAAATTAACTAAAGACATTTTCTTGTAGATTTCGATTTGTAGAAGTTAATTTTGGCTTCATTTCTTCGAAAACTCCAACAATTTTTCCAGAATCGTTAAAAAGAAAAATGCCAATTTTCAAGATATGTAATGGTTATAAAAAAATCAATTTCAAAGCTAATTTTTGAAAAATTTTATTCAGGGACCTTTAACACCCTATGGTTTTCGAATCAGTCGAGATCTATGTACATATCTAAGAAGTTTTTGGGGATTTTTGATCAATTTTTCAAAAATCTCAATTTTTCAGTGCCTCCCTCTATAAATTTTTTGACCGTTTTTGGAGCAGCATTCGAAAATTGTAACATTTTTTCCTGAAGCGATAAAATAAAAAATGACAGTTTTTGAGATATTAAAAAATTTCCGAACATATTAATCCGAAACCATTAATACCTTAGGTTCTGTTTTTTTCGAATTAGCTCATCGAGATTATATCCCAAAAATTTTTTAAATTATGGAACGGCATTTTTGTGTAGATTTCGACTTGTGGAAGTTATTTTCATCTTCATTTCTTCGAAAATTCCAACAATTTTTCCAGAATCGATAGAATAAAAAATATTCTACAATGAACAAAGACAGGAAGTTAGAGGTCTTCTTTTTTATGCAACATTGACATTTAACTAGGGAAGATGTGCACAAGGTGAACACATGCAACCCATGTCCACTACCCATATATACAGCATGATTCAAAACTTTTCAGATCAAAGAAGGCTGTGATTAATGCACGTAAGCTTATCTTATTTCTTCCAATACATTAAATCTACATCTGCATCTATCTTAAAAGTTTTGAATTTTTGTGTTTCAAGTTTGGTGATATTGTAGTAAAACATATGTACTACTAGCTAATGTATTGTTATTGCCTTAAAAAAGAATTAACACTATTTTTTAATAATATCTGCAATGTCAGTGTCATTAGCACACGATGATAGTGTTACCGCTATCGGTCAAAATCCATATAGGTTATGTGGTTATTTATAGGTGTTTAAACAGATAAGCATAAATAACACCTGCCATCTATCGTGATTGATGGCAGGTGCCATAAATATTTGACGGAAGCCTGACAAAGTGTCTTCACAGTATTTTTTGAATTTTTGTATACATTAGCACCGTACCAACCCATAAATACTATAGGGTCTAAAGGTGTTTTGGAATCAAAATTTGACATTTGCCTTTCATGGAAGTACTGCTTAATTCGTGGTTTTATGACTTATGTATTGTCTTTGCCATTTCTATTGAAACACCACCTGTTGATTTTGCTTAAAATTTAGCAATTGGTGACAGCTTTCGGTTGATTAACAACGGCTTTTAGTTAGAAAATTGTCTGAATATGAACGTTGCCAAATTTACGATTAACAAGTAGTGGTGTTTCAATAGAAATGGCAAAGACTATAACCGTGGGAACATTGAAAATGAAAGTTTTGACATGGAGAACAACTATTGTGTGTGCCATTTCTATTGAAACACCATCTGTTGATTTTGATTAAAATTTAGCAATTGGTAACAGCTTTCGGTTGATTGACAACGGCTTTTAGTTAGAAAATTGTCTGAATATGAACCAGTGGCGGCTCCTCAGAGGAGGCAGGGGAGGCTGAGCCTCCTCTATTTTTTGGAGCTGAGCTTCCTCTAATTTTTTTCGATGAAAGAATTTATATTTTTGTAGACATTTGTTATTTTTCAGAATATTTTCTTGGATTTCATTTACTTTCATCATATATCAGGTTAAAATGTCGGAAAAATTTATATTTGCGCCCTCACAATCATAATTCACATTCACACCACTTCGCGTTTGGTTTCAGCGGCAGAGGCTTGCTAGCCGCTAGCCTCCGAACGACGATGCATCTGAAAATGACACCGTAACCTTGACGCACCGTCAGTGGGTATTGCATTGGCTAAAACGTTAATGGGACTGCCGCTCCAAGCCGCTAGCCTCCGGCTGTTCATCTCTTTTCAGATCAAGTCGTACAGATAACTTTATCTCTTTCTTATTAGTTGGAGCAATCGGGTGTAAGTAGGAAAAACATTGAGGTGGTTTCGCGAGCTCCCTGTTCAGTGGTGGTGGTGTTTAGGCTTTACGTAGGTAAGGGTATAAAAGGGAAGACCAACACCATCACTCCCATTAATGGTATTGACAGTTACAATTAGAAACAAAACAGAGCATTTCATGAAAATAATTATAATAAAACTAAATAGTTAACGGCTTCGGTTTTAAGAAACAAATTATACTGCTGGAATTGTGTATTATTTATAAGTGATAAATTGATAAATCTTCCGCTTGGGGTAAAACAGGCTATAATAATTTACAAAATTTGTCACGAGCTATAGAAAGGCATGAAAAATCACAGGAACACATATTTTCTTCGATTAAATTAGAAATGCTTGGTAAGCAAAATATTGCCAATAATTTAGATTCGGCTCATAAAAGGGAGAACTATTACGAGAAAGTTGGTGAAAATTGGGCAATTTTGAAAAGACTAATCGATGCAATATAATTTATCTGTCAACGCAAGAGTGTTCTTTTCGTGGGCATGACGAAAAAAATTATTCAGATAATAAAAGATATAAAAAGTAGTGCTTTTCAAATTTGAGCCTCCTCTGAAGAAAACTTCACGAGCCGCCACTGATATGAACGTTGCCAAATTTACGTTCAACAAGTGGTGTTTCAATAGAAATGGCAAAGACTATATGTATGTATTAAGAATTGGGAGCAACACGGTCTACGATAACACAAGAATCAATCAAGACAACACACAAACTTAGAATTAGAATTTATTAAATACACTGTATCAGAACACACAGATTGCAGATATTATCAGAAACCAAGTTTACACAGCTAAGTTAACAATGACAGGTATAGACATTTTTTTCAAGTTAGTGCAATTTGACATGTGCAACTTAAATGACCTAGTTATCATTTTTTAACAATCATTAGTTTTTCTCAGCCGTTTGAGTAAGCAGTTTTGGCTCTTCAGTCTAGACGGCGCCCAGTTTATTGGAAAATTTTCCATTTTCATCTTTTTAATTACTAACGACTTAACTCGGTTCTTCTCTTCGAATATTTGGGACGACGATTTTTTTCTACATTTTATATGTAGGTATATAAATTAATGGTAAAATTTGGTCTTTTGGATCACTGAATTTATCCCTCGACCGTTTTAAATAAAATCAATAACAAAAAACTTTTTCATTATTGTTTTAATACTTTTTTAATACTTTTAAGCGCAGTGTTTTATTTTGGTTTAAAAAAATCGTGAGTAATACCTTTTGTGTAAATTTAAAATGGAAGGATGCAATGAAGAGACATTTTGGTTCATATCTGTACTTTTATGGTAATAGGTACTCACTGTTAGAACTATTGTGTAACATGCGTGTATAAATAATAAGAAACATTAGAAATGAGCGGTGATCACGACAGTATTATATACAATCTTTACCACAGTACTTGATACTCTTTTATTACTGATTTCTGGTTGGCGTGGTTAGAAATCATATTTTTTCGACTTCTTTAAATACATATTAGATTTCTTTTCAAGTTTTTTTATGTATAATTGTGTTTTTCGCTACATATTACAGTCCAGTTTTTGTAGTCCGCAAGTTCTGTGATGAAAACAAGATGACAAAACTACATAAAAATCCGTGCCTTAACCTCACTCGTAGTAAACTTGCAAAATTGGGTGTTTCTAACCTTTGCAGAATTTTCCCCCATTTTTAATAAACTGCATAAAAATCGGCCCTCCAATACCACCCCTAACCTTTTATCTCTTCAAGATGCCCAAAGGTACCGACGGTTCCTGGACCGAAAAACTCTACTCAAAATGCATCAAATATTCCCACTTCGGCAAAGCCCGTTTCGGCACTTCCGCTTTCACCATCAACCACTTCGCCGACAAAGTCCAATACGAAAGCAACGGCTTCCTGGAAAAGAACCGAGACACCGTGATCGAAGAGCAAATCTCGGTTGTCAAAAAAAGCAAAAACGACTTAGTGCGACGACTCTTCGTCGACGAGTCCCAAAAATTGGCCGTTCCAGGTGCCAAGCTCAAAATCGTTGCAGCCAAACCAGCACCTGCCACCCAGAAAACACACAAGAAAACCGTAGGCTCGCAGTTCCGCGACTCCCTCAATATGTTAATGACCACTTTGAACGCCACGACCCCTCATTACGTACGCTGTATCAAACCCAACGATTCTAAAGCGGCGTTTGACTATAATCCGAAACGTGCCGTTCAACAGTTGAGGGCATGCGGGGTGTTGGAGACTATAAGAATATCGGCAGCTGGGTTTCCGAGTCGGTGGACTTATGTTGACTTCTTCTACAGGTATAGGGTACTGTGTAAATTTAAAGATATCCACAGGAATGATATGCAGCGAACTTGTCAAAACATTCTGAAGCAGTATATCAAAAACACCGATATGTTTCAATTCGGAAAGACGAAGATTTTCTTCAGAGCTGGACAAGTAGCTTATTTGGAGAAGCTACGATCCGATAAATTGAAAGCTTGTTGTATTATGATGCAGAAAACTATCAGAGCTTTTATCTGGAGGAAGAAGTACCTCAGGATTAAGCGCTGTACTATTAATATACAACGGTATGGAAGAGGATATTTGGCTAGGATTTTGGCACAGAATTTGAGACGTGAGAGAGCTGCTAAGACTTTGCAGAGATATATTCGTGGATGGGTGAAACGTGTTCAGTACCGAAGACTACAGAAGTGTATATCTGGTATTCAAAGATATGCCAGAGGTTATTTGGCCAGACTTAGATACATGCAGTTACGATACAACGCTAAAGCTGTTATAATACAGAAATGGGTGAGGGGATACTTGGCTAGGAAACGCTGCAAAGCCATCAGAAAGCGAATTGTTATTTGTCAAGCAGCAATCCGGCGATTTTTGGCTCGAAGACAATACAAGAAACTTAAAATTGAAGCCAGGTCCATCGAACACGTCAAGAAACTCAACAAGGGATTGGAAAATAAAATTATTAGTCTTCAACAGAGGATTGATGATATCACTAAGAATAACTCAGAGTTGGTCAGCTACAAGAATGAAGCTAACGAATTGAAGTAATTTGTGTATATTTGTTTTTGGCACTCTTTCATATTTTTTTTCAGGAATAAGTTAACCACTTTCAAGGCGATGGAAGTTGAAATTAAGAACCTAAACGCTCTCTTGATCGAGAAAAACAAAGTCATCGGGAAACTAGAAGAAGAGATTAAACTGGAAAAAGAAGAGAAAATGGATCTCATTCACGAACAAGAAAAGTATCGCGAGGAAACAGAAAAGCAACAAGAGCTGTGGGACCAGGAGACAACGAAGCTGAGGAAAGAGTTAGACAATATCAACGAAATAGTTAAAATGAATCAAGAGGGTGCAGAACAGAATCTTAAAGTGCGACTAGAAGAAGAAAAAATGTTGATTTTGAACGAACAAGACAGTGATAGACAAGCGTACCAGAAGCTTCTACAAGAGTACCATTGTTTAGAACAACACTGCGAAGATTTAGAAAAACAACTAAACAATCAAAATCACCAAAACTCCCATAGAAGAAACGTAAGCGACATTAGTAGTATCGAAAGTTTTGTGATCAACAATGATATTCCGGAAGACCATGGCTACGGTTCTGTACGATCCACCACTAGTTCAGGCTCACAAAGAGAAAAGCTCGAAAATATTGACTGGAAATGCGAAGGTAACAATGACCTAAATGAATTATCATAGTTTACTCATTCTATTAAAGACAGTCATCTCATTTGATAAGAATTTCCTGCACTGTAATCTTATCTCTGGTTTTTTATCACAATAGTATTTATTGCTTTTATTGTTTAGGAACGGTAGAAAGTCAGACTCCTAGTACCAGTAGCAGTGATACAAAACATGAATCCGAAAACAACAAAGTGGATGTTGGGTTGGTGCTCAAGCTCCAACACAAACTTGCCGAAGTAGAAAGAGAGAAAATGCGAATGCAGAAGCGTTTGGATGAGTTGGATATGTCACCACGGACTGAAAAGGCAGAAAACGCAGCACGTGATTCTATCAAAATTTCAGAACTAGAACTAATTAATTCTACTCTAAAAGCACAACTAATGGAGTTGCAGAACAGTATTATTGAAGGAACTGGAAGTTCTAAAATACATGAGCAGCTGCAGTTGCTTCAAACTGAACTCGAGCGAAAGACTGAAGAAATTATACAACTGAAAAGTGTATTAGCAAATCAAACTAACAGCATGAAGTCAATTGTTAACTCTAATAATAGAACGGGTAAGTAGACCAATTTTTCCACTTTTCGTCTACTAACGAATCTAAATCTATAGGGGCATACATTAACGAAGACGGAGAGTTAGCTTTAGCCTACGAAACTCAAAAAACCATCAACAAACAACTAGAATTAGAGTTACAAGACGAAAAATCTAAATATAAAGCTCACGAAAGAGAGTATAAACTAGAAATAGAAAAGTTGAGAGAGGACAACGAACGACAACAACGACTGTTGTCGGCAAACCTAACCAACGCACCTCAGACTCAAAGTGAAGCTTATATGCAACACGAAATTACAAGACTAACGACAGAAAATCTCGATTTACACGATAAGAATGACGTTTTGGCCGAAAATGTACGTAAACTGAAGAAACAGATTAAATTAATGGCCAAAAAGCTGAAGGAAGCTGGCTTAGATCTGGATGATACCATGAACGACATAGACAACGAACCTGGTAATAAAGCAGTAGTTAACAAACACGCTAGAGCTTTACCGTCTATTAGAAAGAAAGAACGTGACTATTTGGGAATGTTCTCTTATACGAGTGGGGAAGAAAATACGGTAATGAGGCAGCTAGTAATTGGTAAATATTTAAACTAAAAGCGACAACTCAAGATTTTAATTTTGTTTTTTCAGAATTAAAACCCAGAACAGCTGTCACATTACTACCTGGTCTTCCAGCGTATATAGTCTTCATGTGTATCAGACACACGGATTACGTCAACGACGAAGACAAAGTGAAAGCACTGCTATCAGCTTTTACAAACTCGGTGAAGAAAGTTATTAGAAAACGTCACGACGACTTCGAAACGACAGTTCTTTGGCTGTCCAACACGTTAAGGTTGCTTCATAATATGAAACAGTATAGTGGAGATAGAGCTTTCCAGCAGAAAAATACCGCGAAACAAAATGATCAATGTCTGAGGAATTTCGATTTATCGGAATATAGACAAGTATTATCAGATATTGCGGTTTGGATCTATCAAGGACTTATCAGGAATTTTGCGGAAAAGGTGCAACCTCTCATTGTCCCTGCAATTCTAGAACACGAAGAAATTCCAGGGATCAGTGGCAACAAACCTAGTGGATTTAGAGGAAGAAGTAGTAGTGTAGCCACAAGTCCTGAAGCAAATCAAAAGCCAACGACTGCGCTTCTGCAAGAGTTGACGAATCACCACAAAGTAAACATTTATATATATATAAAGTGTGGTGTTTGTGATAATTCTTTTTTAGATCCTTACTTTCTATGGCGTCGATCCTGAAGTCATTTCTCAAATATTCAAACAGATATTCTACTTTTTGTGTGCATCGAGTCTGAATAATCTTCTTTTAAGGAAAGAATTGTGTCATTGGTCTAAAGGCTTCCAAATTCGGCATAACTTGTCACACTTTGAAATGTGGACGCGGGAGAAAAACTTAGATGTACGTTTGTTATTATCACTAATTTTTGTTTGACGATTGTTTTACAGGAACAAGCTATTCAAGGTACTTTGCAACCCATAATACAAGCAGCGCATTTGTTGCAAGCTAGGAAAACCGAAGAAGATGTTGTCAGTGTCTGTGAAATGTGCAGCTCTCTAACACCTCTCCAGATTTGTAAAATACTAAATCTGTATACACCGGTAGACGAATTCGAACAACGGGTTCCAGTTTCGTTTATTAGAAAAGTGCAAGCTAAACTTCAAGAGAGAACCCCGAATCAAGAACAACAAGTACGTTTTTCTTTGTTTTGTTTTTTAAAAATATTTATGCGTGTTTTTGTAGGCTTTGTTGATGGATGTAAAATACAACTTCCCAGTACGATTTCCTTTTAATCCCTCAGTGATATGCTTAGAAGATATTGAAATTCCAGAGATTTTAAAATTGCCGCAGTTGGAGAAAATCTAAACACTAAATTATGAGGAGTGTGGCGAGAAATGAGTTACTATTGTACATATGTAGTATTATTCTTGTGCAAATATGTAAATTTTGACACTTCCATTAATTTTTAGACTAATTTTAAAAGCATAGAAACGTTTATAAAGCAAAACTTTGCAGTGACATTCTAAATAAATAAATACTGTTTTATGCAGACGCTAAATGTAGGAAAACATACTTATTACTCTTATTTGTGTATAAAACGAAGAATATTTTTTAGGAAAATTCCTTATTATATTGTGATTATTGTTACTGTGCCTCTTTTTTTGAGCATATTATTTATTTATTGATTTTTGTACATATTTCTTATTTTTTGTAAATCAGTGCCATTTTTGGAAATTATAACCAGTGTTATAGTATTGTAGGAATTAAGTCAATTTAACAATATGACTCGTTCAATGTCCATCTATTTTAAACGCACACTCAGTGGAGGACGACCATTGTGCATATACATCACAGAAACATTTCTAGCTAAAACTAGCAGCAATTTGATGTGGATGTTTATAAATTTAATTTCAAATGTAATGGTTTGTATTAGGCATTGATTAAAAAAATGTATGCTGTAATTATAGAGCAATAGTGCAAGCGAACGATTGGCAGAAAACAAAATGTGATTAATTGCATTGCTAGTAATTCGATTCTATTTTTATTAGAGACATATCTTTTTAGTACAATCGTCTTTAAGTGCTTTATCATGTGCTGAGGCCATCGCTTCTACAATTTTATATACAATAAGTCTCCGAATTTATAATGGTCCACTGTTTAAGATACTTAAAATATAGAAAAATGTCTATTTTATTGCACTTAGACAATAACATATTTTCCAGAAATGTAATCCAGTCTAACCTTATATAAAATTGTAGCAGAATTTAGAATAGTTACCTGTCCTAAAAGAGTATTATAAATTCTCGTTAATGTTAAAAATTAGCAAATTGTTATTGATTGGTGATATTTTATTGTCAGTTGAAAGAATGTTTCAAAGTTTAATTTAAAACATACTTAGATTATAGCGAAGAATGTGTGAGGTGAAAAATGAAATAGACGCTCATAATAGCAGACGGGTTTTATTTTATTTGTACCTGTAGGAGTTGAACTTAACGGTCTTATTTATTGAGTGTGAACAGTTGTTTGAATTTAAATTAAAGCGGGAACAGTAACGTTGCCAACCAAAAATGTTATCACGAATTGTATACATTATTTAGTTTCTGCAAGCAAATAAATCAAGCTTTAGAACAGATATATAAATAAGATTATATTGTACATTATTTTACTATTATAGACCGAAGAGAAAAAACATCTCTAAGACGCAATTTTCGTGTAATTTTTCACGTTGGTATTACTTGCACGCCGACCGTCCATCTTTAAACATAACCTCATTTCGTGCGGTGTGTTCTCTCATTTCTGCTAGACATCGTTGGAGGTACCACGTGCAATTGTAGATTTAAAGTAAGTAACAAATATATCACTTTCAGTAGTTAAATATTGAGAAATAGGTTTTATAAAACATTCTAGCGCTAGTTAACGAAAATGGTGAACGTTAAAACTCCCAACAAAAAACGAAAAAGCGGTGGGAACAGTGAAGGAGGTTCCCAAACAGCTCAGTCCCCAAAAGTGGCGAAACCTAATACCCCTGCACAGACCCCAGGCAAGGGTAAAGGGAAGGCAACCCCTGGAAAACTGAATAAAACTCCAAAGGCTGGCCCTCGTGAAAATAACGCAAATACACCTAACCAGACCCCACCGGCAGGCCCCGGCAAAAGTCCCAAACAAACACCCTTTAAAAAACAAGGAGGTGCTCAAGCAAGCGCCACTAAACCTAAACAGACCCCATTTAAGAAGCAGGGATTTTCTGAAGACAAAACCAATAAAACTCCCAAACAAACCCCAATTAAAAAGGAATCTGGTTCAGAAGAAAGTGTTGTGCAGACACCATTCAAAAAGCAAATGAATTCAGGCAAAAAGTTTATTAAAAAAAATGAACAATCACCCAAAACAGAAAACGAGGTTTCACCAGCAAAAAAAATGAAGAAGTTTGCTGGTACAGGGGAAATGCAATCAGAAGATAACAAGGAACAAAAGCAGAAGGTGGAGAAGGTTGATAAGAAACCAACCAGACAAAGAAGCAAAGCTCGAAGGAAGGCGTTGTTTACTGGTATAAAAAGCAAGCTTCGTGAAGGTGATGAAGGAACGATAGCTTTTCTTGAAAAGAAAATTACAGCGCTAGAGAGTCGCACAGATTTATCAAAAACCGCAAAGAAAAAATTAAAGGTGTTGCAGAAACTGCGAAAGCTGGCACCTGGGGGCGCAGGTGAGGCGCAGTCACCGAAAGAGAAGAAGCAAGTTGTAGTGAAAAAAGAGACCAAGGCTGTTAACAAGAATAATCAAACACAAAATAAAGCGAATGCTAAGCCTGCTCCGAAAGTAAAAGTTGAAATAAAAAAAGAAGAAAAAGATAGCGAGGATAGTGAGTCTGATTATGAAGTCGAAGCAGAAATAAATCCTGACAAACTTATTAAAAAAGAAGCTGTTAAAGCGGAAAGCGATGAAGATGAAGAGGACGAAAGTGGGGAGGAAGAAGAAAGTGACTTAGAAGAGGAAGAAAGTGGAGAAGAAGAGGAGGATGACGAAGAGATGCAAGATGAGTCTGGTGATGATGAAGAAGCGCAAGGTGAATCTGACGATGATGATGACGATGAGGAAGAAGAAGAAGAAGAGATACAACAAATAAAAAAGCCTCAAGTGAATAAAGGTAAGCAGTCTAAACAAACAAACGTTGCTAAGGAAACTAGTCCGGCAGCTAAAAAGTCTCGATACGTTGTTTTTGTCGGAAATCTCCCCTATGATGCAACTCGAGAGGAGATTTCGGAGCATTTTAGTAAAGCTGGGGAAGTTAAACATGTTCGCATACCTACAGACAGAAAAACAAATAAACCAAGAGGTTTTGCGTACGCTGAATTTAATGATGAAGTTTCTTATCAGAAAGCTTTATCTTTGCATCACACATTTATCAAAGGGCGCCGTATTAATGTTCTTTATACTGAAGGTGGAAAGAAGAAGGACGACGTGAAAAAGAGTAACATCAAAGCGAAAAATTTGAAGCTTGCCGCCATGAGAAAACAAGGCCAACTTCACGGGAGCGTGAAACAAGATAACAAAAGGTCGGCACGGAGGGCAAAGAAGGTGCTTAACGGCTCAAATTAGTTTATTGTTAAGATTTTAAATTTTTTTATGTTATATGACTTACTTGAATCAGTAGCTTGTATAAGTTACAAATAAAATAAACAATTATACAACGTAAATTCATAATTTATTTTGTACACACAATATAATGACTTATCAAAGAGAATAACATGAAGTGCTAAGAATGAACACTTAAGTTTTAAAATTGGTGCCACATGAAAATCTGTTATAGTGCTATCGCCTTATAACATTATTTCTTTGACAATATATCACAGTGTTGCCTTTCATGAGTTCTGTAATTTTGTAATAAAGTGAGAAAAGTCCAAAAAGGCACTAACTACATTTAAAAACCAGTCTTCATGAAAACAGTATGATCTGGATTTTCATGCTTCGTAACCTGAACCTGAAGAGAAATGAGTATGGCACTGTAGACAATAGAAATCTCCCTAAGGCACTACAACAATAATAATTAAATTTTAACAACTGTTGGTGATATGTCAAAATTATGGTGTTTGATCCTCATTATCTAAGAAGGAATGTATAGCATTTCTTAACTCTTGATTGTAAGTGTATCCGGTGTTCACCAATATTTCATTAGTCAAAGGACTGGTGTATTTTCCTGACATGAACCATTCGCAGATTGCGTTCTTTTCATAAGTGAAACCATCACTGCAGGTTACAGGCTCCCTCATGATTTCGTGTGTAATAGGACATAGAAATTCATGAGGAATTTCAGAGCTTCCGGTTCGATGGATCTGCAGCTCGTCCTGCTTCAGCCATCGTATTTCCTTGCTAAGGCGCTCCGATTGGTCATCACCTAAAAAAAAATATTATTCTGACTGTTCCAGATTAACATGGTATTTTCATTGTCTATTACATAGCCCTAATAGCATAATTAACCAACACAAATATTTGCAATAATAAGCTGTTTTAAATGAGGGTGCTGACTTTAAAAAATCATTAAATTACTGTTAGGGGGTTCTCTAATTATCATCTTTTAAGATATATTTCTTATTTAAATATTACCCCGTTGTACACCTGTTGTTTTTCATTGCTTAATAACTTCAGGATTTTCCCAAAATCTTTGTTAATGATAATAAAAACAGGCTGACACTAAAGTTCCGTTTAAAAATGCTTGGAACATGATGAGACATATTTTTAACAAATATTTATTAATTTTTGGACAGGCACCTAAAACGAGTAGCGAACTTCCACCCCCAAGCCTCTTTAACAAAATTGGCTCTTATGTTAAACGAGTATAAATACCTCTGTCGTTTGTTGTGTACAAAATTTTATTTTAAATACTTGATTAAGTAAATAAATTGTACAAATCAACAACCTCCCTCTTCGTGCGTAATTTTTTAGGGCAAGAAGTGACAAAATCAACTCGTTTCCGTATAACCAAAATTGGATTACCTCCACCAAAAAGTTGATGACGTCACCTCAAAATTTTGGTACATAAATTCTATTTAAATTTTTATAAAATAATGTGCTCCTTACTTGCGTTTCATCAATCTATTCCTATTTTTACTTTCGACATACTTTAGGTGTTTAGAAAAATATTAATAATTGTACAACAACATTTTACAGTTTAACTTAGAAATGACAAAACCAACTGCTCTGAAATCTTGCAAACGTTTGAACGTTATGGCGAACAAGAAAAATTGCTGATCAAAATTTACTTGTCATCTCAAAATTTTGATACATAAATTCCATTTTAAATGTACAAAAGAATATGTGGCTACCCTTGTGATTTGGCTTAAAGTAAAAAACGATTAATCTCATTTTCCTGAAACTCTGGGAATACAGGATTGTTGTTTTTAGTGCTGCACTGTGTCTATTCAAACAGATATATGCCTTACTAAAAAGTTGGTGACACCATCCCAAAATTGAATTCAGAAAAAGTAGCAGACCTAACTCTTAAAACTGCCATAGGATTACCATAAAACTATCAACTTCTGTCAAATAATATTTATTACTCTTCGATTTATGACATCTACACAGGCTAGATGGAAGAGGCGCAAGTACTTTTGGAATACCATTGTATTATAGTGAACCAAGAGCTATAAGGTTATATGGCCATCATAAAATCATCCCATTGTGTCGAAGTTAAGTTGTTTACAATAGAAAAGGTTTTAGGGTCGTAAATAACGTGTCCACTACAGCTCGACCGGCTCTTGCAGTTTCGTTCAGGGGCGGCTTTCACTAAATATGAAAATCCACCACTCCACTATTTCTTTGCTACCTGCAGCCGCTGAGGGTTCCGAAATAACCACTCGCTTTGAAAGCCGGCCCTGTTAAATATGAGCAAGAAATGTGTAAAAGATGATTTATTGCCAACCGGTAAGCTTAGTGCGAACCACACAAAGGGGGTATTTATTTGCGGTCAACTAATTTTATGATGGCCATATAACCTTATACCTCTTGGTTCACTATAGTATTATTTACCTGCGTACATCTAAAAACGGTCCGATTTTCAGTACCGTTTCGCTTGCCTCCTCTTCAGCACCCTCCTGTGGAGGTGTTTATTCATAAATAGAAGGGACATAAACATTACTTGACAAAAGTTCATACTTTTATGGTAATCCTATAGCCACTTTTCAAATTTTGTAACTGATACAACGAAACAAATCCAGTTTTCTTAAATTTCAGGGGCAAAGGAAGTTTTGTCTAAATAATCTTTGGCGAATTTTTTATTCTACAAATTTTATTTTTACGATAACCCCTGTAGGGAAAGTTGAAACTATGGGCGCAATATTAGACCAAAGGTAACGGAGCATACGAATGTGACGTTTACAAAGTTTTAAGATGACGTCACCAATTATTTAGAGGAGATAAGTATCTAAATATGTTTTTCTAGGGATTTTTTCCGAAATAGTAGGCATAAAATATAGTTGGAACACCCAAACAGTGAACACTGACTCACTGTTTATTGGAAGCCGTCAATCAACAGCTTACCATTAGGATAATGATAATTTACGGCAGGCAAACGTTGTAAATCCTCACTACTACATATAATCCTGAACAGTTTATTAGGGGTTTCTATTAAGCACTTTTGGAAACAGAAAGTTAATGTTCACTACCTATTTGGCCGTCCCGACTATAATAAATTTCATTTGGGAGAATATTTGAAACTAGATGGACAATTGACATTTAAATGATCCTACTACAACGTAGATACTTGTCTTATCTAATATTTGGATAAAAATTGGTCGAAGGTTATTTCGACAAAATTTCCCTCGCCCCTGAAGTACAGTCCAACGAATTCCGCTTCTTTGAAAAAACTATAAAATTTGAAAATATATCTAAAGTAAATGACCAACGAACAGGAAAAAATGTATTCTCAGTACATGCTTAACTTCGACCGTTTATATTGACACTTCGACAGAATTCGACTCTTAAGCACGTGCAGATAACCAACATCAGTGGCGTTAGATCAAAGTAGACATTAGTGCTAAATGAAAGAAAAGAAAATGGTTGATTTTGTCTCCTTAAAACGAATGAGAGGACTCATTTATCAATTAAGCACAATGGAGGAAAATGGTCCGAATATTATTTTGAGAGAATTATTTATTTGTTTGACATTACTATATTCTTACATTTTCGAAAAAATGGGGTGAACCGTTCTTGATTTGATCAATAAAAAAAAATTGAAAATGTCTAGAGATCGAATCCAGAACTATCATTTGCAAAACTGGCGTTCGAATCTATATACTTCACGCTACCCGCTAGTCGCACTTCGTATTACGTATCTAACGCAGAGGAAAATTAAACAATAAAGTAATAATAATAATAATAAATAAATAAATAAATAAAACCAAGGTGGTTTCATAAACCTCAAGTACAGGAGTATGGAGTACCTAATGTACATAACTTTATGCTCGTTTGTCAATTCAGATTGATATCTTTTAATGCACAAAATCTTGAGCTGACGCCATAAAATTATTTGAAAGGCTTATTAGGTTAAATTACATTAGATTCAGAAAGTATCTCTCTAATAAAAATGTGGACAGACAGACGGAAACAGGAGACCTATTTTTTCGTACTCTCGTAAAACGCCAAGAAAACATGAAAGGAGCCTAACATGCTATGGACCCTATTACAATACTTCCTTAGCTTACACTCGGGAACTAATAAAATCGAAACACGTGGATTTTTAAAATTTTTGCTCTAGTTGGCCATGACGTGTACGTCAGCAGTCCAATTGAAACAGCTGAAATAGAATAGAATAGAAATTTAAAAACTCACCCCATATTTTGATAAACGGCTAATTAATTATCTTAATTAATTTCTGGGGGTTTTCGAAAATTGCAAGTACTTTCTACTTCCCGAGCGTAAACTAAGGAAGTATTGTAATAGTTTCTTCGGCGAATGGTTACTTTTATGTTTTCCACGGCCCCTAGAGGACGAAAAAATAGTCATCCTGTTTCCGTCTGTATGTCATCTGTTTTTACATGTATTTTAGGAGTATCGTGTAGATGGTAAAACGCTAAACAAAATTTGCCTAATTATTATCCCTCACCTCAAAAAATTGTATAATAAATGTTATTTAAATTTTATATCATAATACACCCCTACATTGGTAGATTATAATCCGTCTTGATTTTTCACTCTTCACATCCAGATTTTGGGTGCAAAAAAATTTTGGAGCAACATTTTACAATTTAACTTTGAAACTCCAAAACCGAATGATCTGGAATCTTACAAACGCTTTAAGGTTCTCATAAGCGTGGTAAATTGTTATCAAAATTTATCCGTGTGTCCCCTCCCAAAAAATTGATAACGTTCCCACAAAATTTTGGTTTGGAAAAACTGACTTGAAACATGCATAGCATGCTTCCTTACCTGAACACTAACATTTATCGTTACTTTAATTTATACAAATTAGCATAAAAAAGTAAAATTTGCGGAACTAGATTTTATAATTTTTCGAAAAATCTGTATTGCTTCTGTCTAAATAAATTTAGACCCATTTTTTTAATATTGTCATATAAGGTATTATAGGTTGTATTTTCAAGGTAGAGTGTAGTGTTGGTGGTTTTTTAATTTTGCCAAATGCTATATTCATATTATGAGACGAATGGTGTTCATTTGAAAAAGTCATCAAGTTGGCGTTGCTTTTTTGGTAGAAGAAAACATAGTGGACAATGCATGTCTTTTATTAATTCATGCTGTTGTGTATAACTGACATTTCCTCATTGTCAGCTGTCATCCATTACATTTTAGCTTAATTCCAGATATACTTCACAATGTTTAAAAAATTAAGGCCAACTTGATGGGTTTTTCAATTTTGAACACCCGACATTAAAAATATTGCGAAATAAATCTCATACTATGGTAAGCTTTTTTGCCTGAAAATAAACGATCCCTACTTTTAACTTCGTGTTTATGAGGGTTCGTAAAAAATATTTGTTCAAACAAATTTTACATTACATAACGGATTTGTTTTTTAATTTGGAGTAGATTAGGGTCGATGCAGGTGTTACACAACGTTTTCAAGTAAATGGATCAATTAAATGAAATGACACTGTACATAAATAAATAGTATACACAATTTCTACTTCCGAGCGTAAGCTAAAGAAGTATAGTAATCGAGTCTGTCGGACGAATGACCACTTTTATATTTTCTCGACGTTTCATGACCCCTACAGTACGAAAAAAAATAGTCTCCCGTTTCCGTTCGTCTGTCTGTCTGTCTATATCCATTAGTAGACACGTAATCTCCGAAACTGCTGGACCGATTATTGTCAAATCTTGTATGTATATTAGAAATATCATGTATGTAGATAGTTAAATGCTAACCAAAATTTGGTTAATCATTCCCACCAACAATTTGATGGCGTCATTTTAATGAATGGTACTTTAAAATGATTTGAATGTTACACAAAATTATACTCATATGCTTGTAGTGTACAAATCCGCCTTCAGTTTTTTCGCTAAACGCTCAATGGGTGTATCGGAGAGAACGATGACCCTGCGGTACTGCGATTATGGGTTCGATGCCGAACGTGGCCGTTTCCTTTTTTTTTTCTTGCACTGGTATAACGCTGTGACTACTTTTCTTTTGTGCTGTGACTAGAATTATCCATGTTGATGACGTCATCACAAATTTGTTATTGGTCAAATTAACAACGAGTCACCCAATTTTTTCGAAAATGTGAAGAATACGCACGTCTTTATATAATAATAATAAAATAAGAATTATAATATTCAGAACAGACACAGATTGCTGTTACCTAGTGCTGAAGGACAAGGGGTGTTATTTATGCCTCTGGTTTTTACTTTACAACGGTTATCATAAAATGAAAATGAAAATAGTAAAATCAAATTTTCGAATTTTTTTAAATAAGCTGAATTTGTCGAATTATACTTATAGCCTTCGATCAATTTTTTATTGATCAAATTAAGAACCTCATTTTTTAGCTTTACTTATACGGGATCACTCAAAAAAATTAATGAATCAGTCAATTTATTTTATTGAATAAATCAATAATTGCAAAACTGAATATTTTGAAATCTTGCAGACGTTTTAAAGTTATTGTAAACATCTGTTTATTCCCCTCATATTGCTGACGTCATCTCAAAATTTTGCAGAATAAATTCTACCCAAAATGTGCATTGCATTCATATTTTTTAGATTTACTTAAAAACAGGTGGCTCAAAAAAATTAATGAATGAGTCAATTTATTTTATTATTTAATCAGGAACGGCTCACTCCATTTTCCTAATAAATGTTGGGAATACAATACTGTTATTTTTAACATTACACTGGACCAATTCAAGTTGATATACATGTCCTTGCAAAAATGTTGATGAAGTCATCGCAAAACTATGTAAAGAAAAACTCAACTCGAAAATGCTGGATATGTTTCATTGTACTTCAGGAGCGGGGGAAGTTCTGTCGAAACAACTTTCGACCAATTTTTTTAAATAATGATAATAAACAGTATATTTTTCACACCGTTTTTACTCCACTGTGTATCAATGTAAAAACTATATAAGGAAAGAACAAAACGACAAAAAAAATAAATAAAATTCGCGAAAAAACAGAGTTTTTTAATTAACTCAATTTTAAAAACGTACTAAAAGAAATTGTCATTTAATCTACGTTGTTTTTTACGGCTTGCATAAGGATCATAGCAGTGATAATAGATGGCGGCACTACTCTGTGCACAACTGTATTGCACAATATAAATAAACATAAATACACTCTTACTCAAATCTAGCCCACAACAAATTTGCTCCTCGCTCAAAGTCAACAACTTCTGCCCATCCAGCGATGCGTTTTGAACATTCACAATAACATCCTCAAGCCCCATATTTTTCAGCCACTTAACCACATCGGTCGTAGTCCAATCGATGAGCGCCTTGGTCCGACATTTAATTTTATTGGCCACGATAGTCCTGAACACCTAAAAAACAATACTTATTATTACCTTAGAACACGAATCCATGTAAAAACAAACCAATTGCTGCGGCAACTTCCATAACCATAAAGTTTTATCAATGCACCCCGTAGCTAATAAAGAACAGTCGGAGCTGAAGGCGCAAGCTGTGACGATCGAATCGTGATCGAGCACATAAAGACATTCAGCACTATAAACCGACCAAATCCTTGCTTGCCGATCGGTAGCAGTCGAACATATAATTTCGCTTACATTTGGAGAAAATCTCACACAAATGACGTTTCCCCCATGGCCTTGCAAGGAGCGCCAGACCTTGACTTCCACGTCGTCAAAATCCAATTCGTCGTTCTTCTAAAGCAAAGATGCGATCAAGTGGACGCTCCCTGCGAAAACAATAAATTCTTACTTTTTTCGGCACCGATATGCTCCACAATTTGACGAAACCGTCGTTTCCGCAAGTTCCGAGGAGATACGACTGCACGTCGATGATGTTATTAGGGACGGGATCTAAATTCTGCGAAAAGTCGCAGCTTTGGATGCCGTAATCGTGAGCGTCTTCTTTGACGCTGATGGTTTCATATGTATCCGCTTTCCATAGACGGAAATCTGCATTCATTGACGTCGTGGCGATTATTTGACCGTCCGGAGTGAAGCTGGTCGAGGTGACAGCGTCTAGGTGGCCCTCCAGAGTCCTGATGGAACTTACGTGCTAATAGTTTCGAACTGTCGTAACTACAACTTACGTAATCTCCTCGAAGTTGCTCGAGTGCCAAATTGTAGCCTTCTCGTCGTCGCCCGCAGTAATCAAAAGTTCGCCGTTCGGAGAAAAACGACATACTTTGATGCCTAAGCTGTTTTCGGGCAAAGTCACGAGTTTTTCGCCATTCTAATGAAAATTTTAAAAATATAGTAGGTATAACGGTAAATAATATAAATGGTTCCTGAATTCCGTTTAGGCTGAACCATAGTTAATTTTTCTTACGTTATTACATTTGTAGAAAAATTAATATTATATTTATTGTTGCAGAAGTCTTAAAAAATAAAAATATATCATCTGATGCCAAGAATTCTTTCTCATTCATTAGAATTACAAAATTTTCACTAATATGTGAAAGACAAAACTGTGGCAGTTTTACTCACTGAAGTTTTTATTTTTAAAAGTCATATTTTTATATGGTAGTCACTTTATAATATTATAATTTTCATATTTTTGTCTGGCTGCCCAAGGTAAAAGTCATGGCGGATTCATAAACCACAAGTGCAGGAGTATGTTATTTTATAAAATTCAATATAAGCATCAAATAAAAAATTTAAAATTTTTGGTGTTTTAGTTTCTGCTTTGTTTGTCATTGCTAATTCGCTCACTAGTTTGCAGTATACTAACAAATAAGAAAAGTCCGATTCTGACCGGTAAGTACTACAGAGTACGTACTCAAGACATAAATCTTGTCTGTTCTACCCATCTTTCGTCCCACCGTAACGACAGCATTATAAGCCATAAAATTTTATGAGGTACAAATGAAACGGACAAAGTATACATTCAACACAATGTATATTTACATTACATTAACGTAGTGAAATTTTCTTTTAGAGAATAAATTCACTCTATTTCAGTCCTAATGATAATACAGTGTATATTTGAACTGTCTTAAATTTGTCCTTAAAGTTATTTCGCCACACAAATATTAATCTCCTCATATTTTTACATCCAGAGCGTAAGCTAAGGAAGTATACATACATATGTCTCTCGTTTCCGTTTGTCTGTCTGCCATTTTAGACAGATAATCTTCCAAACTACCGAACCGATTGTTGTCAAATGGTGTATGTATATTAGGAATATCGTCTAGATGGCAAAAAAAATTGGTCGAAAGTTGTTTCGACAGCACTTCCCTCGCTCCTGAGGTACAATGAAACATATCCAGCATTTTCGAAGAATTAATAAAATTTGATTTTGCGGAATTTGCAGACAGTATTTTTTCGGCAAAATTATGACATAAAGAGATATATCTTGATTAAAAATTTACCATGCCTGCAACAACTTCAAAACGTCTGTAAGATTTCAAGGCATTCGATTTTTTTTTTACTTAATAAAATAAATTGAGTCATTATTTTTTTTGCATCACCCTGTATAAACAAATCTAAAAAATATGAATGCAAATACAATAATTTCAAAAGTGTGCGGTATACTTGATCGAATGATTAAAAAAAAGCAAAATAAGAATGAGAAACGATTCTGAAAACAAAACTCAGGCGGTAGCTTTTGTGCAGGTTTGGATGCAAGTCATAAATTAGTGGAACGCCCGGAAGGGGCCCATTTTGCACTTTGCACAATCTGGAGATCATATGTGTCAATAAACGGTCAGTCGAAAACGAAATCGTATTTTTGTAACAACCAAATAAAAAACAAATAAGTTTTATTTTCCGTTACATTTAGACCAGAAGGGGTCCCTTAACTTCGGAGGCCTGATGGTCCAGCATCACAACCATATCGGTATAAACCGCCTCTGCACAAGTGCAGACATTGTAAAATATATTTATAGCACATTACTAACAGGAATAGTGGTATCTGAGCAATCTGCGTAGTGTTTAAAATGTTGATGTTTATACATCGGAAGAATGTCATGTAGACACTTGTTTGATTTAAATGAGTTTATCAATTGAACAAAACATTGTGAATGTTGTTATCAAAATTCTTACCTTATCAATATTTTATTATTATAAAGACGAGCGTATTCTCACATTTTTTTGAGTCACCCTGTAGATGCAAACCGAAAAAATATGAATGGAATGATAAATTACAAGTACTTTCGGAGATTATCTGTCAAATAAAAATCCTGGACGGCAGACAGACCGACAGACAGACAGACGGAAACGGGAGACATATTTCCTATTTCTTCGTACTATAGGTGTCTTCGCTCGGGAAGTAAAAATCAAAATTTATCCGTTTACGAGGCCCCCTAAAAACTGATGACGTCATCTCAAAATTTTGTCAAATAAATCGTATCTAAAATATTCAAAATATGATAAGTCCATACATATTTGTGATTTATCATTCAGTTCATATTTTTTAAAACTGCTTATTCAAGGAAGCTCAAAAAAATTAATAAATTGTCGATTTATTTTACTGATCAAATTAAAAACTGCAAAACCGAATGCTTTGAAATTCTGCAGACGTAAATTTGTAATCAAAATATTTGTTTATCATCTCCAAAAAAAAAAAAATAATCAATACCTATCCAAAATGTCCAAAATATGATGAAAAAAAAAATGGAAGAGTTGATTTATCTTATTGATTAAATCGAAAAAGCTGGATGTTTTATTGTACTTTAGAGGCGAGGGAAGGGACCAATTTTTTCAAAAAGTTTTCAGGCTAGGGTAGGCTATGGAAATATTTTCATTTCTTTGATTAAACCTTACGCGTCACATTCAATAAGGTTATGTGTTTGCCGACCCATGAATTATGGGTTGCCTAGAATAAAGGCGCGAACACTGTGAAAGACGATTCCATTTTGAGATCGCCGCTCCAACATTAATTTAAATCATTGAATCGTTAATTAAGATAATTAAAAAAATGAATTGTGGATTTCCATTTTGATTTTAACTTCTTCCATTTGATTGACATTTAGATCGATTTAATCAATACTTCCATGGCTTACCCTAATCTGAAAACTTTTTGATCACCCTGTATTTGATCATATTATGTTATTATTTATAATTACAATCTCTATAAAATAAAACCAGAACAAGACAACACGTTAGAAAAGATATCACACTGTCTCATAAAAATCGGATTGAAAACGTAACTAACTTTCCTCTATATCTAAGCAATCTAACTGTAGGAACTTTAATAGACTTTATGGCATTGTTCAGTAATCCCCACTTTTAAATCACTGTTTACCATGAGAAAATATACTAGGTGTCCCAGTTAGCCGTGAATGAACTCAATTAAGTCTAAAAATTGAATATACCTTAATATTGGTATATGACATCAAACTTTGTTTTCAAATGTCGGGTTTAATATTTAAAAATAGAGTCGTCCCAGTAAAGTAAAAAAATAAAAAAAGCTTCTCGTTACCGTACTTAAAAACATACTCCTTTCTACCAGAAAAGAAAAAATTGATATCATTTTTTAAAAAACTAATGGCGATATTTTGTTAGTAGTATATTCTTTCATAGATTTCTTTTTTAATTAACAGTTTCAAATTTCAAACTTTTATCTATTAAGATTGTTGAGTTATTGAAGTGGATGAGGGAAATTGGGACACTTAGTATATGCTGTTTTTTCTGAAATACCCCTGAGTATTTTACGTTATCACAATTAATATCTCTGATAACTGTTAAAGAGTATTTGTTATATCACAATTCTTGTATCATTGTAACAGAAAATCACTTTTATGGGCACAATTTATCACTTATAATAACAACCTGTGATTTCGATTTCACGACAAAATTGAAGTCATTTGTTTGTTACACTGCAGCATGAATTCTAACTTTTATAGTCATAGTTCATAATCTATAGATTTAAATGGTTGAAACTAGATTGCTCAATTTTCTACCAGCTTTATTAAACTAATCATAACCACTAATCTATGCGATGTTGTATAAACTGAACTTTCGGAGTTAAATGCATTGATATTTTTAAAATGATTAAGTTTTAACTCTGGTAAAGTAATAATAGAAATGACCTACACACAGCAAAATAGAATCAGATGTTACTGCGGAGGCATTAAGTAATTGATCCATGAACTATTCAACGAAGTCCTTTTGTCATGCTCGATACAACAAGACTTCACATTTGTATCGGAAAATTTCGCGAATATGAATGAAAACTTTGTTGCTTGGGAAGGCACGAGGGTCTGAAGAGGTCGAGTGCTTTGCCTAAAAGCAGCAAAGTTTGAGTTTGTCTGGGAAATGTGAGGTCAAGCTAAATTTCACGAAGCAAATAGTCGGGTAAATTAAGGCCAAATAATTGTGTTATAATTATGTTGTAGCTCTAGCCATGGCCGACTAGTATAAAGATTATGGCCTGTCCAAGAGGTACGATACGTGTTGCCATCTATTAATAATTACACTTAATAATTTAGCAAAATTTTAATTTGACTTGAAATTATGGGACTTCAAAACGTGTAATGGTGGTTTGTTTCGGTATGAATGCCTTTGTGCCTTTCAAAAGGTGTTAATAATTCTTTTGTCGTTTTTGAATTATTAATAGATGGCAGCACGTAATGTACCTTTGACATTCCTTTGGACAGGCCATAATCTTTATACTAGTCGGCCATGCTCTAGCAAAACAACAAATGCCTTTTTTTTTCGAGTTTCAAAGGAGTTTGATTAGTTAATATGTCAAATTTTACAGTGCAAGTGTATTTATCGAAATTAAACACGACAATAAATAAAATACTATTAAACGAAAACTAAAATCAATAAAATCTAATTCACAGTGGTGTTGATTCTGGTCTTCATCTCATGAAATATTCATGATCAGTAATGATTAATGAAATTATGGCCGTTTGCAAATTGTAGCAAATAATTTACCAAAACATTATTCGAAACAGCCACATCTTTCCAACATTTTAAATATTATTAGTACTAAATTAGGGTTTGCGGTTACGTTATATAACGATGAAAATGGATTCGTTTATAAATATGTTTAACTTAACTTCACAGTTTTTTTTTCTTTCCCTCTCTAGGGGTCACGCAAATGTATTTTTCTATGTAGCGGCTGAGTGTAAGAATTTGGTGACAATCACGACATGCGAGTCTTATTTTTGATTGACCGGCTTATCTCTAGCGGTATTAGTTTAAGCTCTTGTTCACAAACGAAGGGGTTGGAAAAGTCAAAGTCAAAACTACTATATCTCTTGTGTCAGTGTCAGTATACTAAATCTATTGTATGTGCTATAATAATTAGTTTAATCAAGGTGTTGTCAGTTCGTGGGACAGACGAAGTCCTCGTGATCTATTTCAAAATGTATTATAAAGGCCTAATCCTCTTTAATTTAAACAGAACAAGTTTTTACTAAAGCACAGATAATATTCGTAGTTTCTGTGCTATAACAACCTGTCTAACGCACGTATCTATCTCCTCTACCAACATCATAAAGTAAATTTAATATCGCAGAATAATTGTAATCATCTAAGCGATTATGAAAAATCGTACATCAAGTTGGCTTTGAAATTTTGTGAATTTTGTTGCCTCGTTATGATGATTGATGACTACATACCGCCTGTCACAAATGTCAATCACAACCTAACTTTCTTAAGTGTGAGAATATGCTTGCAGCATAATGGGGTTCCTTTGTACATTTATTAATTGAATGTTATTTATATTATTTTTAGTTTCAATTTTTATTAAAAATATTGCCAGAGTGTCTTGACGTACCATTTTTATAATCACTCTGTAAGTTCAATGAGCCATTTCGCCGTCAAGATTTTGGTCTCATTTGTTTGACTCTCTACACCTGGTAACAGTGGTAACACCTGGAAACTGGTGTTATTCTTTTTTCTTTTGGCTTGCTTCACTCTATAGACGCTTAATCGTTTCCAAGATAATAATTGCTTAAATGGGCGGACCTCCAAAAGTATCTTTTAAATAGTTTTTATTGCCGTCCGTCCAGGTCACAATGTCCCATCTGGTATACCTGCTCGAACCGACCTTTACAGGGCCGGCTTTAAATTCTTTATCAGCACTCAGTAGCTGTTTCTAAATATATAATAAGTGGGTGTGATTTTTTGATTCAAAGAGAATTTTAAATGGACAAAAATTATCACGTGAATGCAGGAATTTCCAAAGAGGTACATTTGATAAATCCAAGCGCTAAAAAATCATACTAAAACGTCAAACAAAACAATTTCAACTTTCATTCATTTCTTAAATATACTTTGAACGGGTAGTTTACTCAGACTACTGAACGCTCTATAACGAAAAGGATTAACTCGGGTAAATCTGCATTACAATGGAGTCCTGTCCAAAAGGAATTCAGTCTCAGAACTTGTTCCTGTGTTATCAGACGTTTTATTTTCTCTCTTATTGTGTTACAGTGAATTTTTATTAAAATGTGGCAACCTTAGAAATCCCTATCTAATAAAAATAAGAAAGAGACGACGAAGAAGAAATTATCAATAGTAAGAGAAGTGGAGCCGGTTGGAGCCGAAAACGTAGTAATGGACGATTTTGTGAATAAATTTTTGAATTTTAAAGTTGAATACGATGCATGTAAATAACACGTTAATATTTGGTGTAAATCAGCTTTAAATAAGTTCTACTGAAACTGTGTGTGTACATTTTCATGATACGGACCTGGTTAAGGGTGTAGGACTGGCACGAGCCTGGGAACCGCACTAAAGAAGCAATAAACATAAATCTATTTAAAAGTATTTTTCGAGAACCGCCCATTTATTTAGTTATTTTTTGTAAGCTAGTATACTATTCGAACGTTATTTTTGTATCTACTACTATGTATTTTATTACCCCGTGAAGTTAAAGCCGGTAATAAATGTGTAAACAGACTCTAAATTCCATTGTATTAGTAGAAGGTAGAATCTCGTGCCAGAGACGTACTCTTCAAATTTCACCGTACCGTCAAATATTTATAACTCGTATTTCGCATTTGTTTTCAAATAAATAAGAACCATATTTTTTAGTTTGTTTTTCAACCACCTACTTATGATCTATAATGTCAAAATTATTTCAATTCCAATGCGAAATCTTGTGCCGTTTAGAAAAAAGTTTGTCTATAAGCCCACAAATGGCATCTTCATTGATGTTCGTTTCTACATCCTAAGCGGGTCGATATTTGGTATAAAAATTTGCTAATGGAACTAGAAAACGTCTAAGAATCGAGTTCTGTCTTTTATATTTGAAAAATTGGTCTAAAGAGTTTAGACAGTACTTCCCTCGTTTTAAGAACTGTGTCTTTATGTCTATCATAGATTCTTCTCATTAGAGTTCTGTGACGGGACATTTCAATAAATTAGCTTTCACTCTGGAAGTCACGGCTCGTTCTTAATTTGACCAACTGACTAATTCATTAATTTTTTTTGAGTCACCCTGTATATGCAAATCCAAAAAATATGACCAAAATGATAAATAACAAGTACAGACTCATCATATTTTCTTCATTTCAGATTCGGCAAACTTTTGAGCCGACGTCATCAATTTTTTGGAGGGGATAAACAAATATATTTTGACTAAACATTTATTATGCTTTTTATAACCTTAAACCATCTGCAAGATTTCAAAGCATTCGGTTTAGCAGATTCAAAATTAAATTGCAAAATGTTGTTTTATAATTTTGATTTTTTTTCCAAAAATATGGACGTTTCGGGTAAAAACTCAATTTGGCATCATAAACTACATGTGTAGGACTATGTTATTTCATACAAGTTAAAACCTATTTACTATGTACAATTTTGAAGTGACGTAATCACATTAGTGGTGGGGATGATTAGACAAATTTTGGTTAGCGTTTTACCATGTACATGATATACCTAATTTAAATACAAAATTTGACAACAATCGGCCCAGTACTTTCGGAGATTATTTGTCTAATAAAAATCCGGAACGGCGGACAGACAGACGGACAGACGGAAACGAGAGATCTATTTCTTCGTTCTCTAGGGGTCATGATAGGTCGAGAAAAAAAGTAGAGAGTCGGCCGACGGACTCGATTACAATAGGTACTTCCTTTGCTTACGCTCGGGAAGTAAAAAATGCTGTTCTTTGACTCAAAAATTACATTTTCCTATATATTCGTTTATCCATAAATGGAACGAGTATCCGGTCTAAAAATTTCTTAGTAGAACTAGAGAGCTCTAAAGAATCGAATGCTTCAAATCGCAATGCGGAATCTTTATGCATTTTGGAGTGTTGTATTTTTAACTTTGAAAAAAATCTGTTCTTTAATTCAAAAATTACCCACTCCAATGTATTCGTCTCTCCAGACTAAACCGAATGACTATCCGGTCTGAAAATCTGCTGGTAGTACTTGAACGCCTCACGAAATGGACATTTCAAACCGTAATGCTGATTCTTGTGTCGTTTTGGAGTTTTGTTCCGTTTTATTTCAAAAAAGGCTGCATTTTAACTCTCAAGTAACACCCTCTTATACATTAATCTCTCCACATTAAACGAATCGAATATGCGGTCTGAAAATTTGCTCGTAGAACTAGAAAGCTTCAAGGAATAGAATGCTTTAAATCGCAATGCAGAATCTTGTGCCGTTTGGGAGTTATCTTTAGTTAAACTTGAAAAAAGTTTGTATTTAAACTCAAAAATGCGATCATCTAACGATTTACCAATAGAACTCGACAACTTGTAAGGATCGAATTCTTCAAACTGTAATGTGGACTCTTGTGTCGTTTTGGGGTTATATCTCGCTAACTTTGGAAAAAAGCTGTTCTTTAACTCAAAAATTACATTTTCCTATATGTATATTCGTCTATTGATACTAAACGGAACGAGTATCCGGTCTAAAAATTTGTTAGTAGAACTAAAGAGCACCAAAGAATCGTACACTTCAAATCGCTATGCGGAATCTTTATCCGTTTCGGAGTTTTGTCTCTTTAAATTTGAAAAAAACCGATCGATATCCGATCTAAAGATTTAAAAAAATTGTAAGAATCTGATGCTTCAAATCATAATGTGGACTCTTGTGCCGTTTTGAGGTTACAAATCGTTGAATTTAGAAAAATATTGTTCTTTAACTCAAAAGTTAGACCTTCCTAGGTATTCATACTAAACGGAACGAGTCTCTGGTCTAAAAATTTGAGAGAAAGGTTCAAGGAATCGAATGTTTCAAACCGTAATCCAGACTTTTGTGGCGTTTTGGAGTTTTGTCCGATTAATAATTTTATTTATCTACGTCATTTTTCACCAATTTTTGATTGGAAACGACAAAACTTTGACTTTACTAATGGTGAACCACTAACTTTAAATGATCAGATTTCTTACCTCAGCGTTCCATATATTGGTGCACCCATCCAAAGAACACGACGCCAACTTCGTACCATCTCTAGAAAACTCTACATAATTCACAGGATAAGTGTGCCCTTCTAAAGGCGACCAACAAACTTCCTCTACATTGTTATTTTCTTCCACTACCTTAAATAGTCTTACCAATTTATCTCTGTAACGCCACTATTAAAACCAGCTCTCACACCAAAAAACTACCAACCCCGACGCCGTTGCAAGCACTCCATTATTATTAAACGAACAACAATTAATAGCCCCGTCAGAAATATCGTCAATTTTTTCCAACAACTTGACTTCATTATCATTACTTTCCGCATTAGTCATCAACTGCAACTCCGGAATACCTCCAATATAGTTCTGTGATAGATGCAGCGGTTTGACCAATTCCGAGTCTGTGGTCAAATTTCCGCTTAAATCCCACACCAGAATAAGTTTATCGTTTGAACCTGTGGAACCTTCAAATAAAAACCCCGTCCACCGTCTCGCCTAATCTACTCTCTACATCCATACGCTTACCTGAAGCTGCCAACAGGGAGTCTTTGGAGATCGCCACGCAGTTGACGTACCTTGAGTGTCCTTCGAGCGAAGCTAAACAGTTACCTTCCCTATCCCAAATTTTGACCAACTTGTCTAAACTACAAGACACTAGAAACGTTCCGCTGGTGTTGTACCGAATGCAGGTAACCGAAGAGTTATGACCGTCGTACGTATCACAGTAATCCACCGACACCTCATTGACGCCGCTTTTATGTTTCGGGGTCGATTTCGAAGTTATTGTCCAAATTTTGATTTCGTTGCTGTTGCCGCTAGTGGCCATGGTATAATATTTGATCAGAGGGTCGCTTTCTGGGGTGGACTGGCGATGAGCAGGATGATGGATGTGTGAGGTAACTTACCATCTACTGAGATTGTTTTGTTGACGTCGACGCATGATATGCCTAAGTCGTGAGCATTTTCGCATTTAGCAACAGGGTTGCAAGCGGCGTCTGCGGTCGTGTCGACGAGATCTTGAACGTACCAAACTCTTAGGACCTCCAAGGAACAGGCGCTTATGAGGTATTGAGAATCTGAGGTGAAAGCAAGGGACGTGGTGGTGCCCTCGTGCTCGAAGATTGTCCTGAAATTGCATATGCTTCACGTTAAAAAAACAATCAACATTTCTGTTATAATTTTGTTGATTTATTGCTAAAACCGCGAACACACATTCAACAGGTTTCCGATGCTGACTGAGTTTTCTTTAAAGTTTTGAATAGTATTACTGGCCTGTTATTTTACTCATTTATATATCACAAAATCGCATTTTTGTATAGTTACTGGGTTAGTATGAAGGATTTAGTTTATATTGATTTAAAATCTTCGTTTAATTTTTTCCTTGTCTGTTCATACGAGACTAAAATAGCAAATTTCCCTGCTGAGTTACAAAACCTATGTGAAAGTGATTGTTATTTTTATATAATTATTATTTATAAAGCTCCTACTATATTGCAGACATTACATAAATGTACAAAAAGAACTAAATCATTGGAGGCGTTTACATATATACTTGTTTACGACAATTCGTACACGCATTCCCTCAAGAAAGTTGATCGTCATCTCTTACTTTAAATGTAAATTATGTGACCTCAACTGTGATTTAAAAACGAACCCTACTTGAATTTTAGATGTGCAGTTATCCATAAAAAGGTAATTTGGTTCATCAAATTTTACAGTTTGTCACTGTGATTATATTACAAATTTCTTCCAAATTTTAGTAACTTAAACTTTACAAACGTTTTTACATGCTTGTATACTTGTGGTTTATAAATCCGCCTTTACTTTGCATCATAGACATCAAAATTTTTGTAAAAAAAATTGAAACTGTGAAAATTATTTCAAACAAAATCTCTGAAATCTTACCAACGTTTTGAAGTTATCGTAAACATGGTAAATCACTAACCAAAACTGATATGCTTAGCCTGTCCAAAAGCTTGAAATTTTGCTAAATAAATCGTGTTTAAAATGTATAAACTATTATGGATCTGTAGTTATGACTGTTATGAGTTATTAATACACTCATATTTTTAATCATGCATGGGTGGGCTATCTTAAAAAAAGTTTTTTTTGCATGTTTCAAAATTTTCAATTTTTCAATACCCCTCCTCCTCCGCATGAATTTTTGACCGTTTTTCAAGCAGCCTTCGAAAATTACCTGACGTTTTCTTGAAGATTTCGATTTGTAGAAATAATTTTCGACTTCGTTTCTTCGAAAATTCCATCATTTTCCAGAATCGATAAAATAAAAAAAAATGTACAACAAAATCTTACAATTCTTCTGAAATTTAAGTTGTCATCAGGTTTATAAATTACTAAATAAAATTTGTCCATTTGTTCCCACCAAGTTTTTTTTTCTATGTGTGTGGTTTATTCAGACACAGATACATATTTTTCGTAATATATTAAAAGACGTTGTCAAAAAAATGGTCGAAGGTTATTTAAACAGAACTTCCCTCTCCCTGAAGTGTATTCCAACAAATCCAGCTCTTTCGAAAATTATAGAATGTGATTCTGCAAAATTTTGTTTATTGTATGATAAACGTTATAAGTAAAATATATAGATAATGCCAGTCACAGTGCAAAAAAGTGACTCATGAACTGAGCTATGTCCGGTCGCTGAACGTTCTCCTCTTATACTTATTAGTATAAAACGTTGTTATACAGTTTTAATTTTATTTTTATTTTTGGAAAATTTTGATACTTTGGGTAAAATGTCAAGGCGGATTAATGAACTACAAGTACGTTATTTTATAAAATTTAAATAGCATTTACCATGCAGTTTTGAGGTGACGTCATCAAATTGTTAATTTTGACATCTACATGATATTGCTAAACATCTAATATTTGACAACAATAGGTCCGGTAGTTTTGGAGATTAATTGTCTACTAAAGGTCGACACATACGACATATGAGATGGAAGAGGGAGATTTGTATTTTCCTACTCCAGGGGCTATGAAAAGTCAGGATCAACTTTTATGATTTATCTAAGAAACTGGAGTTTTTATTGTGTTATAAGGATATGGGAAGTTTTATTTCAATAATTTTAGACCAATTTTTACCTCTCGAGCATAAGAATACGAAAAAGTAGGTCTTCTGTTTCCGTCTGTCTGTATGTCCTCTGTCTGTGACCGATTGTTGTCAAATTTTTTGTGTATTTATATTAGGAATATCATGTAGATGGCAAAACGTTAACCAAATTTGGCTAATCATGCCCACCGACAATCTAATGCCGTCCTCTCAACATTTTTTTTGTAAACGACATTTGTATATAGTAAAAGGGTTTTAAAATCTATAAAATATCATAGTCCTACACATGTAGTTTATCACTCCGTATTGAGTTTTTACCCGAAACGTCCAGATTTTTGGAAAAAAAAAATCAAAATTATAACACATTTTGCAATTTAATTTTGAATCTGCAAAACCGAACGCTTTGAAATCTTGCAAATATCTTAAAGTTATGATAAGCTTGATAAATTTTTAATCAAAATATATTTACTTATCCCCTCCAGAAAACTGATGACGTCAGCTCAAAATTTTAAAATTGTACAAAATATGATGAGTCTGACTTGTAATTTATCATTCCATTCATATTTTATGGATTTGCATATACAGGGTGATTCAAAAAATTAATGTATGCGTGACTTTATTTGATTGATTTAATCAGGAACTACAAAACCGAATGCTTTGAAATCTTGGAGATGTTTTAAAGTTATCGTAAGCATGGTAAATTTTTGATCAAAATGTATTTGCTCATACCCCCTAAAAAACTGATGACGTCACTCCAAAATTTTGCTGCATAAATCCTATCTTAAATGTACAAAATATGATGAGTCAATACTTGCGATTTATCACAGCATTAATATTTTTTAGATTTGCTCATACAGGATGATCCAAAAAAATTAATGAATCAGTAAATTAATTTTTGATGAAATTAAGAACAAGCCACCCCATTTTCTCGAAAATGTGAGAATACGCTCGTCTTTATGACAATAAAATAATGATAAGGTAAGAATTATAATAATAACATTCAGAATATTTTGTTCAATTGAGGCTTATGAATAATTTTAGTCATCTGTTTTGAGGCGATAAACTCATTTAAATGAAACAAATGTCTACGTGACATTCTTCCGATGTATAAACATCACCAATTTAAACACTACGTACACTACGTATGTTGCGCAGATAGCACTAATCCCGTTGATAATGTACAGTAAATATATTTTACAATGTCCCTACTTGTGCAGAGACGGTTTATACGGACATGCTTGTGAAGTTGAACCATCAGGCCCCCGAAGTTAAGGAACCCCTTCTGGCCTAAATGTAACAGAAAATAAAATTTATTTGTTTTTAATTTGGTTATTAATTACAAAAATTGTGCAAAATGCCACTTCTGGGTGTTCCACTAATTTATGACTTGCAGCCCGGCAGGCACCTGCACAAAGAGCTACCGTCTGAGTTTTTTTTGCAATATCGTTGCTCAGTCTTGTTTTGCTTTTTTTTATCGTTCAATAAAGTATACCGTACACTTTTGAAATTATTGCATTTACATTCATATTTTTTCGATTTTCTTATACAGGGTGATGCAAAAAAAATTATGACTCACTCCATTTTCCCCCCAATTTGGGGGGGGGGGGGGGGATATAAGACGTTATTATTAGTATTACTGCACCAACCTAAGTTGAAATACGTGTTCTCGCAAAAATGATAATTCACGTCATCACAAAATTTTGTAAAGTAAAAACTTATTCGAAACATACACGTAGCATGCTTCGTTATATTTACTTTAGCATTACATATTTACAAATGTTTATTTCAACTTATTAACAATTTTATAATTTTTCGAAAATGCTGGATATGTTTCATTGTACTTCAGGCGCGAGGAAAGTTCTGTGGAAACAACTTTCGACCAATTTTTTACCCGAGGCATAACCCAAATTGGACCACATTTTATACCAACACCACACTCATTTGGTAAACTCGGTGGTCGTACCGTAACAACCCCATTTTCTCGAAAATTTGAGAATACAGTAATGTTGCGCCCCCCTTTATTTAATAATAATAAAATAATAACAGCTGCTTATCTAAAATAAATCCAAAATAGTTTGCTCACTTGTAACTTAATTAATAATTTTAATCGCCTCCCCTGTTTTGAGACAACAAAAACATCAGCAATCGAAGTTAGGCATGTACTGATAATATTTTTTCTGTTGGTTGTCTACCTTAATTTTAATTTAAATCTATGCTGAGTTGACTTAGCATAACCTGACTTAGTATGATGTGACATAGTGTGACACAACTTAGCGTGACATAAATTAGTGTGACCTGAGTTAGAGGAACTAGGGACAGGGGAAAAGAAAGGAAGGGGTTTGGGGAGTTGTAATGAAGAATTGGAATTGGATATCATCAACTTGGCTTTAGAAAATTTCAAAGAGTTGCGGTAAATTGTTTTAACACATTCAATGACGTGCCAAAAAATCAGAATAGCAATAACTCAAAGTCAAGCGGTCACGATTGTCGACGATCGTGGATAATTGTAAAGAAAGTCTTACTTGAACATAACTAACGTTCTTAAGATTCGAGCGAACATGTTTATATCCTGTCTACATCCACAGGAAATTATTGTTTCGAATGCTGTATCAATTTCTCCGAGAAATTTAAATACACACACACAATCTTGCTTTAAAGGTTAAAGTTCAACTTTAACTCTATTTTAAACACACAAATGTTTAAATTAACGGATTATTTATGCTTAACGTTACTAGCATAGTGTTAACAAATACGAGTAGATAGATACCTGAATAAACATACACTTTAAAACGGGAGCAAAAACCATGTTTTCATAGCATGAGGTTTTTCTTCTCCGCATCAAATTTCTAATTAAAAGCTAGTAACAGGTTGATTAGTAATAATTAATAAAATAATTAAATTTCTTAGAAAACTTGAGCTTTTCATCGATTAAGCGAGGATATTGTAAAAGACTGTGAAACTCTCGTCGAATATTTCGAATCGTGGGAAATTAAATTATGGATATAACGATTATATTATCTTGACTCTGACATTGTGGAGTGAGGTTAAGGTCAGCTTAGTTTTTTTACACGGGAATCTAGTAAATTCTATACAACTTACAACCAGCAAACTTGCATTATTTCGTTAAACATATAATTATTTTAATGTTTGTTTAAAAGGGCAATAAATTAAAATACTTCATTATTACTGATAAAACAAATATACGTTTTATTATTGTTCGGTTAACAAATTGTTTTTAAATTGTGGTGAACACCCTTAATTAAACACACATTTAATGTTAATAAAAAATTAAGTGGATAACTTTGCTGCGTTACACACAATAAAATCTCTCAATACACTTTAGACCTGATCCAATTATTACAAGTTAGCTCTGTTGCATTAACTAACGGAACTGAATAAAAGTAAAGCTCGAATCAGTTAAACTAAATTAAGACCTTAAACAAGTTTCCAAGCTTGAGAACCGATTTTCGATTAATGTAAATTAAGCTAATTAAAATCGAGTTAGTCAGCGCTCATAAAATTCATGTTAGGCTTTACCAAATCAAATCTGCAGTAAATACAAACGAAGTACAAAATTACATTTGCCTTGAGAGAGTAAATAATTGAAAAAGATACATGTTTTCAGTTTATCGTTGTCGGGTAATTTCATAAATAGAATTGGGTCAAATTTTTAAATTTAATAATTTGTCTGCTGAAGTAAGTGAAATTATTGCCTTTTTACAGCATTTCTTTGAATTAAACAAATACTAAAACATTTTTATACTTGGCTTTATCTTCAAACGATACAAGATATCATTCAAGTTTCTTGCAGTCAACGATAGCCACATGTATTGTGCTATTTTTAGGGTGGCGTATCACCGAAATAGCTACTATCAACTTTGTTTTGAATTAAAGTGCCAGGAAAACACTCTCTTTTGATTATTCTTGCGAACATCATCACTTCAATTCATCACATTTTATTAAATATAAAAATTTAAACAATTAAAATTTCATTTATTGCTTTTATTTATTGTAATGTTATGAAAGTCTTTTATATTTATTACACATTGTACAAATTTGTTCATTACTATCACAGCATAGAATAAGGAAATATTGCAATATTTGCATGTTTTCTGGACGTTTCCGTCCGTCTGCTCGTCGGTCTGTCGTCTGTGTTGATTTTTATTGTTGTCAAATTTTATATCAGTCTTAAGAATATCGACTACAGATTGCAAGATAATCGACTCTATAGTTTAGGATTTTATCTATCTGATAAATTGCCAGATAAAACAAACGGCCTAATTTCTTATGCTACGATTATATCGCTACGATGCCAAGAAAACATGAAATTCAACATCGTCCAAATTATCCTATTACAACGCTTCCAAACTATTTCTCATGAAGCAAAAAAATCACTTTGTATGTGTTTTTGACATCGGAATATTTAACCAAATGAAAAAGCACCCCATATGCAAGTCATCTGTATTTTATAGAATCACCCACTGTGTCGTCGCGTGGGGAAATTTTCAGCGATGTTGAGCTATAACACCGCACAATTTCCAGTAAAGTTACTAATCAACTACTACGCCTCCGGCAAAGTGTCAAGGTGCTGCGTGGAATATTTTAACATGAATAAATAAAGACGATCCATGAATAAGTAAGAAATCAGAAAAAAATTGAACCGTTTCCTCTAGCTTTGATAAATAAATAATGCTAAATAAGCAAAATTGGTGGATGCGCCGGGACCGAGCTTTTACGTCTTGTGAAACGCTGTTATTTCATAACCAAGTCTGCCTATAAATTTACAATTACCTTATCAAGCTTCTGTGAACCAAATCCCAGATGCACACGGCTCCATTATCTCCCGCTGTGACCAAAATGGAGCTGTCAGGTGCAAATCTATAGATGAAATATTAAAAAAAGTCACTCGTTGTAAACTTGTCATTTTCACCTGCAGACTCTGATGGCGTCTCCGTTAACCTGTACCATAGTATAAAGTCTTACAGCCGAATGGAGATTCCACAGTATTGCCGTACCGTCCACTGATGCGCTTGCAAACATAGCACCTTGCGGAGATATCCTCACACAGGTCACTTGGTACTTGTGAGCTTTGAGAGGGGAATCCGACCTTTGTACGTACCCCGATCCTGGCACCCAATCCCATATTCGGATAGTTTTGTCGCTGTATAAAGCATACTGTAGACCTTTAAGGGGTGATTAATGGCTTTACCTGGATCCAGTGACTAGGGTATAATCAGAAGTAAAATCACATGTTGTTACGTCGCTTCGATGACCTGCGATGCTTTGTAGGATCTTTATATCATTTCCAGTAATTGACATTTTTTACTAGAACAAAAATCGAAGTCAGTAATGAAATATCGAATAAGATTGAAATATTACACGTAGAATGTACTGAATGCATTTTTAAATTACTTTTTGTGACAGTGAAATTGGGAGTCTATTGATCATTATTATTATTATTGTTATTATGCAAAGATTAAAGGAGCTAAAGTTAGAATTGATCGATATTACACAAAAATGATGAACATCTGCTATATTTGAAAGCACTTTCATTTGATGTGTCAGTTTATTAATATCACAGAAATGCACAGAAATACTGACGTTGACAGTCAACAGGAGTGGTTTCGGCGTATTCTGTGCCCCGAGGGTAAAATAAAAATTCAATTAATTAAGTCGGGACGAATCATTGAATCAGTAACTTCTTCGAAATTTGTCCATACTTACTTATTATAGTTAAATTAATTTTAAATCTAGTCTAGAGCAATTAGTCTACTTGTATTTCGTAAAAAACACAAAAACTAAAAGGTTTAAAACATTATTTTATAAATTAAAAAAAATTAGATAAAGTTGACGAGTTTGATAAGAATACAATAATTCCAGACTACAGAAAACAATGATTCATTGTTTTCATTCATTGGTGTTACTACGTATTAATCTATTTTTAGTTGTTTCATCACAAAAGAGACAATAAAATTGAAAAAACTTGGTCCAAAGTTGTTTCGACAGAACTTCCCTCGCTTCTGACGTACAGTCCAACAAATACTGCCTCTCTCAAAAATTATAAAATTTGATTTTGCGGAATTTTACTTTTTCGTGATAACCTCTATGGAGAAAAAACAATATAGAAATTACTAGTCACAGCGGAATAGAAAAAAATAAGGTTTTATCTTCTTAAAAAAAGACAGTTGGGACCCCTGAGAAGGCTTCGTCTTCTTTAAAAAAGGACAGTTGGTACTCCCGAGAAAGTTGCACATTCGTAAACAAGACATTTGGCGCTCCTAGGTTTCACATTAAAAAAGAAAGACATTTAGGGCTTCCGAGAAGGTTTTACAATTTTAAAACAGACAGTTGGGACCCCCAGAAGGTTTTACATTCTAAGAAAAAACATTTGGCACCGCTGACAAGGTTGTAAATATTTAAAAAAGATAATTGGGACCCCCGAGAAGGTTTGACATTAAAAAAAAGATATTTTAGGCCCCCGAGGAGGTTTTACATTTTTAAAAAGAGAGTTGGGACCCCCGAGAAGGTTTCACATTAAAAAAAAGACATTTTAGGGCAGCCGAGAAGGTTTTACAATTTAAAAAAGACAGTTCTATTTACCTATATTCACTTTATTGGTTTCGACAAAACCTCAAACTTTACCCTTATTCGAAGATTTAATTTGAGGTTTTCAATATTTTAAAATTGTCAAGACCAAATTTACAGATTTGATTGACTGTGAAAATAATTCTGTGTCGTTTTATGAAGATCATTAGAATGCCGAGAAGACCACAAGCTGACATAGGTCCACGAAGTCAATCAAATGTGTGACGAACTACCTCTGGTGCAAACCGCAATGATTTATTTCATGGGTAATTCGGATGCGGAAGTTGATCAGCGTTGTGCTCATAATCAACATGATCAAACATTGAAACGAGACATTGGGTGGTATGAATAAAATTGAGTAGATACTCATATTCGAAGTACGAAGTACCTACTTCAGTATTACTCTTATATACCTCAGTACATAGGTACTCGATGAGTACCTAGTTGGAAACATTGTATCTCCCCGGAAACAAATTGAACATCTACACGTTTTGTGAGCATTTAATCTAAAAATGAGTATCGGCGTGGCAATTGACTGAGCTGTCTGTAAAGCAGCTTAGAAAACGAATAGGATTGTTGAAAGAGTGAATTTTGACTAAACATGGCTACTTTCATGAACGTGGAACGTTGTCAAAAGGTTCATTCAGTTTGAAGAATACATTAGGAGCGGGAATATCGAAAACTTTTCAGGTAATTAACTTTTATTTATGCATAAATTGTGCAGTGCGTTCTTTCTAACACTGGCCATAGAAATTCCCATCTCAAGGTGTCTACCCCATACTAACTTATATTTTGGTGAGTTTTTGCCTTCATGGTTGCACACTGTCACTGTTTACCTTTTTTGTTGTATCGAGATGCCACTTGAGCATCAACTGGTACCTACTGAAGTATTAGCATCATCTAGAAAAACTAGAAACATTTTGATTTGATATTAGAGTAGATACTTCGTATTTCGAGTATGAGCATCTACTAAGTTTTATTTATATCAACCATTGTCAAAAAATTTATCGAACGTTGTTTCGACAAAACTTCCTTCGCACCAAAAGTATAATGAAACATATTCAGTATTTTCGAGTTGAGTCTTTTCTTCACACAATTTTGTGATGACCTAATCAACATTTACAATCAACACGTATATCACCTTGGATTGGTGCAGTGTAATACTAAAAATAAGTGTACTGTATTCCCAAAATTATCTGCGAAAATCGAGTGAGCCGTTCCATAAATTTTTTGGGGGGAATGAATAAATATTCTGATTAACAATTTACCATGCTTACAATAACTTTAAAACGTCTGCAAGATCTCAAATTATTCATTTCTGCAACTCTTGAGTTATTCAATAAAATAAATTAACTGATCTATACATTTTTTTGAGTCAGTGTAAAAGCAAATCTAAAAAATATGAATGCAACTATAAATTACGAATATATACTGATTATATTTTGCACATTTTGATAGGATTTATTCGGCAAAATTTTGAGGTGACGTCATCAAGTTTTTAGGGTTGATAAATAGATACATTTTGATTAAAAAACTACCATGCTTACAGTAACTTCAAAACGTCTGCAATATTTCAAAGTATACATTTTGCAATTCTTGATTCAATCAATAAAATAAACTGACTCAGTGATTCATTTTTTTGAGACACCCCGTATGAGCAAAACTAAAAAAATATTAATCCAGTGATAAATCACAAGTAAAAACTCATCATATTTTGCACATTTCAGATAGGATTTATTCAGCAAAAGTTCAGGTGACGTCATCAATTTTTTAAGGGGAATGAACAAATACATTTTAATCAAAAAATTTCCATGCTTATGATAACACTAAAGCATCTCCAAGATTTCAGAGCATTCGGTTTTGCAGTTCCTGATTATATCAATAAAATTAATTCACCCATTCATTAATTTTTTTGAGTCACATTATAAAGGCAAATCTAAAAAATATGAATGGAATGATAAATCACAAGAATAAACTCATTCTATTTTGGATATTTTAGATAGGATTCATTTGGCAAAATTTTGGGCTGACGTCGTCAATTTTTTGGAGAGGATAAGTAAATATATTTTGAATAAAAATTTATTATGCTTATCATATGTTTAAAACATGTTCAAGATTTCAAAGCATTCGGTTTTGCAGATTCAAAATTAAATTGTAGGTGAAACGAAGTTCACCGGGTCAGCTAGGTTTTAAATAAAGTGACGTCATAAACATAGATAATTCACAATACGAGAGAAAAAGAAAAAAAACGAAAGGCCAAATTTGTAATCGAACGCGCGAACGCGCGACGTCCGGTCCGCATTCCTGATTCATTACCACTAGACCACGACCGGGATGCCTTACACTATTAGTAAACTGTTATCATACCGCGCATTATGTTTTTGCAAAAATTTGGACTGTCAGGGAAAATCTCAAAGCGTATTCGTACACCACGCTTATAGGATTTTATTATTGTATAACTGTTGCAAAATTCTGGTTAGCACTTTATCATCTACATGATATTTCTAATATACTATATACAAAATTTGACAACAATCGGTCCAGCAGTTTTGGAGATTACGTATCTAATAAAAATGGACAAAACGGGAGACTATTTTTTTCGCATTCTAGGGGTCATAAAACGTCGAGAAAATATAAAAGTGGGCATTCGTCTGATAATAACTAATAATCTAAAACATAGCATCTGAACGTGAAGATTTTTGCAAACACTTAGGTAGATAATTATTACTTTCCTTGTTTTAATCTTATTCATTGGTTTCGGATTAGTTTTGATGAAATACTTGCGATAATGCATTCTCATGTTATGGGAGTGAAGCTGTTTTTAAAATGTACGTCATTTTAATATATGTACTTTAACTCTAGAATTTAGCTTTTAACTCGGGTCGGATCAGTAAGATCTGACATTTGTTGAGTGCCCAGGAAATTTTCCAACTACTCATTTTTACGCCAAACCGAGAGAATACTTTTACGGCCTCTTAGAATAATGGCGCTTTGAGACGATTTTCTAGGGAGGTATTTTTTTTATTTTATTTTCACACCGTCATGTTAAAGTTTAGATTTTTTATAGGGTTAAATTAGTAATATTAATACTAAAATAATCACAGTTTCAAAAAAGCTGAAGAAAGCGTTTCTAATCACGACTTTGATGAAAGCTGTTGACAAATTGTTTGTTACTACTTATGCTGATTGTTTTGCCAATCCTACCAAGATCTTAATTAGATGTTTACCTGACTATAAATCAATTAACTTTTACATATGTTGCCTATTTTATAAATAAGTAAACCCGTCGTTGTTCTAATTTATTTTCTAATTATTAAAATTAAATACTGGAAATCTAACCTGCTTGTTATATGTATTTCATATAAATCTCGCCCCTGTGTATCAGAAATCATGGCCAACTTCATCTGCATCGACTCCACTTTTATGCATGGGTTAAAAATATCATATCACTTACAGAACTAAAAGGCCCAAATGTTCTGAATGCCTCATTAGAACAACACACTTTTGATTTTTGTAAAATAAACTATGTGGTTGTCTGTTTATAAAGATAAATCGGCACAATTACTGATATTGAAAAAGTAAAGACTCTCTCACACAAAGCGCGTTCGTTAAATACTTTATTTTAATATTTTCAACCACACCTCAAATTTTGGTTTCAGTGAAATGACTGAAATTTTATAACAAATAGATTTTCATAAAGAACCACCCACACATTTTTCTTAATTTTTTTAAATCCTTAA